ACCTACCACCAGCTCTATTCAAAGATGGTGGGAGTGTACTTATCAGCGAAATCCTATCGCTGTTCACGAAAGTTTGGACTGAGGAGAAGGTTCCGAGCTCATGGGGAGAATCGGTCATTGTCCCGATTCACAAGAAGGGTTCCCGCGCCGATTGCTGCAACTACCGCGGAATCTCCCTAATCTCTGTCGCATCCAAAATCTTCGTGTCGGTCCTACTTGGCAGGCTTTCAACGACTAGAGAGGAGTTTTCCCCGAGAAGAACAAGCCGGATTTCGTCCAGGCCGCGGCTGCATCGACCAAATCTTCACGCTTCGGCAAGTTCTCGAACTTCGTCACATCCACCGGCGGCCAACAATCGTAGTGTTTTTGGACATCCGAGCGGCATTTGATTCAGTAGATAGATCTGCGTTGTGGAACTGTTTACTGAAGAAAGGTGTGCCCGACAAGTTTGTAACCATCCTGAAAGTACTTTACAGTCACACGTCGGGCAAAGTTAGGGCTTACGGCACGCACTCCTCTTCATTTGCTGTGACCAGCGGTGTTCGCCAAGGTTGCCCTATTTCACCTTTCCTCTTCAATTTCGCCATCGAAGATGTTCTCCAAAGAGCACTGGAAGGTGTCCAGGACTGCGGTGTTGAGCTTCTCCCTGGAGACAGACTCACGGACTTGGACTACGCCGATGATATCGCCTTGCTGGGGGATGACCCACAATCCGTCCAGAGCGCTCTGGACCGCTTGGCGATGGAGGCGTCTAAGTACGGCCTATGCTTCACTCCGGGAAAATGTAAAACGCTGCTCCAGGACTGGCAGGTGCCTGAACCCGCGCTCACCATTGCTGGACATGTTCTGGAGCAAGTCCCTTGCTTTACTTATCTAGGGAGTTGCATCACGGCTGGTGGCGGTGTTGGAGATGAAGTCTCACAACGGATTGCAAAGGCCCGCCTTGCATTCATCAAACTGAGACATCTATGGCGTCGTCGTGATGTCAGTCTCAAGCTCAAGGGCAGGGTGTACAATGCTTCCGTCCGTGCAGTACTCTTGTACGGCTGTGAGACTTGGCCTATTCGCTCGGAAGATATGAAGCGTCTATCAGTCTTTGATAATCGCTGTCTACGAAGGATTGCTAGGGTGTGGTGGCAACACCACGTAAGCAACGCAGAGGTGAGAGACCGCGTGCTTGGGGCGAATAGTGCCAGTCTTCAAGACGTTATTCTCCGACATCGCATGCGCTGGCTCGGGCATGTTCTGCGCATGCCAGCCCATCGCCTTCCACGTCGAGCGCTATTTGCACTCCCAGGGAGCGATTGGAAAAGTGCCGCGGTGGACAGCCGATGACGTGGAGAAGGAGTATGAAGAAGGCGACCTCAAGTTTGGCGGCAGTCGGACCAGTCCGCCTTCCAGGTTGGGGACCACGAGATGCTGAATTGCAGTGGTTGGAAACATTGGACGTCATGGCCCGCAACAGACATCAGTGGCGGCAATGTTGTTCCGCAATTTCACCATCCCTTTGATGCACACGAGAACCCACAAAACAAAGCAAATACAAAATGGCGTGTGTAAAACCAAAAAAATCGTTTCCCATAATTTTTATTCGCATTAGTGTTCCCATCTTCTTCACCTTTTTCTTCTGCCGTGGTTCTGATGGCACAATGTCTGTTAACAGACTGTGAATATATATATACATATATATGTATATACGTATATGCAACTCTACACAACCATACACTGTTATGGAAAAAATATCGGATTTTTGCACATTCATGATCACGCAATGTAATGTTAACATGATCATGCCTGTAAAGTCGTGCTCGCCTTGCCGAGAATAAAAAATGTATTCATTTACTAGCTGATCCCGAGTGGGGTTCATACCAATGTCTACAGCGTAATAAAACAGACCAATGCCTAAATCCAGCTTAAAAGAACTAAGACCACTAAACTTTGCTCCGATTGTGGAGTTTTACAAGGAAAAACTTCTTAAACCGTCCAACTTTATTGTATGCAAGTAGGCAGATGAGGTATAGCTTCAAAAGTCGAGACATCTACTCTTCAGAGAGGTCTCGGTGAGTTTGTGCTGTGGTCATCGTACCGCTGCTAAATTAGTGACTGTATGTATGTGGCATTACTTCTCCCCAGAAAATTTCCCAGGGTTACTTCAAGAACACTGCCCGTTATCTGTGCTGTCGTTAGAACTTATTTCCACCCACTACATGATGGTCTATCGAAAGCGCCATCTACTTTTTCTACATGCTCAAAGTTTAGAACCATATTATCTCCACTGCTTTTTAACACAGTTCAATCCTATTGTACTTGTCAGACTCAACGCATCAGCAGTACAGACACTCCGCTGCCGCGCAACCACTACCAGTTGCACGTGGAGTAAGGATACTGCGAGATTCGCCTGGTCCCTGCGCAGACTCGAACCTGCGTTATCGGATTACAAGGCAGGCTTGCGATCCTTAAGGCTACGGACCGGCAGTTGATCTAACAAAACTCATCAGTATGACGCACAGTTGTTTGTTTGAGTGACATGCAAACACATTTCGTGCTAGACTTTATTTGCTTTTATCCATTCACAGTGACAGCACAAGATGTTGTAATGTATCCACTCAGGTAGACAAGACCTATTTTGACTTCAATATTTAATTTCGCCATCGACATATTTATAGATACAGCATTCACTGGACAGGTCTTAGGTGTGGAGCTACTTCCAGATGAGCGACTTCATGGTCTGGAGTGTGCGGATGATATTGACCTAATATGCGACACCTTCTAAAAGTGAAAATTAGCACCGGCTGTCAGCCGCTTTGGGCTATACTTTGCACCCTCGAAATGCAAAACAATCCTCCAACATTGTAAGAGATCTGGAAATTCAAATACGCAGATAGTTATATTAGCGCCAGTGGATTAGAACATGAAATCACAAGCCGCATAGCAAAAGCCCAAGATGATTTTGTTAATCCTCCCCATCTGTGGCGTCGGTGGGACATCACTCTCGTCGTGAAGGTCAGAGTTTACAATACAGCGTACGTTCAACCATTCTGTACAATTGCTAAACCTGGCCTATCAAATCGGAAGATATAAAGAAGCTAGTTACGTTCGGTCATCGCTGCCTTCGCAGTTTAGCACATATCTAGTGAGATGGCCACCTGAACAATGAAGGTGTTCGGCGTCGAGCGAGTGAACCGCTCAGCACCACTATTTAACGCACAGGCTTTGATGGTTAGGGTACGTATTGCGCACGCCAACACACAGACTCCCTTGACGTGCGCTGTTTAGGCGACCAGGGTCTGGATGGAAGAAAAGAACAGGAAACCAAGTGATGACTTGGCCAACAGTAATAAAGTCCCTATCTTCGAATTTGGCGTCTCCCGAGTGTCATGACATGGTCCTAAAGATGATGAACACATTCGGCTGGATACATTTGTTAACATGACCAAGAGCCCACATCAATTGCGTGTGCTTTCTTTGTCCCTCCCTTTCCCATTAAGCTTCCCCTCCAACAACGGTCTCACACTGTATGGATGACAGTACACTTAGCAGTATATTACTTGCTTTCTTAGGTCCGGTACCAGTAATGTTTGGTAACTCGCTTTCTCATATATCTTATCATTTATATCGCGACACAGTTAGCTGAAGTGTGTTTCTAAGCTAAAGCAATGTGTAATGATGATGACTGCTTACCATCTGGAAGTTTCGAATGCCTGCATGGAATTTGTTGGCAAGTTCCGTGATCTGATCACATATAGGTCAAAAATCAGACCTCGTTTCGTAAGAGCACTAGGAGCGTGACTCTAAAACCCAGTGATGAGCGCGATCTTGTGGTGATGCTGAGAGACGAGGTCGACCGTTCGGAGTAGTTCTTGAAGGTGTCCAAAACCGGGATTCAACATGCCCGTTTCTTATGGAGGGAGTTCGAGCAGTCCGACCCATCCATCTTTCAGCAAATGTCCAATGCGTAGTTGAAGCCCCATGTAGAGTACGCAATTTAGGCCTAGCAACTGCCGCTAAAACGTAATCTGACTGTAGTCGAGACCTCACAGCCAAGCGCAACCAAACACATTAAGGGTTTGCTCTGTCACACCTAACACAACCGACAGCCGTGGGAGTGTACAGCGGAAGTTATCAACGTTTACGGGGCGATGTCATGCTAACCTATCAGATTTTGAAAAACCCTAGTCACGGTCGCCATCACTACTTGAAACCTGGCCGCAACACAAAAGTTAAGTGCCACCAGATGAAACTTACCACCCACCACAGTTGGTTGAAATGCTGTCTGAATATCCTTTCTTTCAGAATTTGTCGATCCTAGAGGGCGTTTGTCATTGCTGCGCACCTGTTACGCGTTAAAAACGACTTGACGATAGCTTAAACCATCTGCATTACGTGATTTGAATGCCGCTCTTCAAATGACGACAATATGCAGCCAAATAGTGTGGCCACCAGTCAACACGAGATCTGGGCGGACGGATTTACACGTAGGTAGATGTGGATATCATGGTGAGTCCACAAATGTATGTATTAGTTTGCTGTTACATTTTTTGAACTTGTGTTTCACAGAAAGCATCTCACGAGACCTGTCAAGTCTTGGTTTTTCAACCATTATAACTACTGTTCCATTGATTTACTAATCCTTTGCTTAAACGATCGCTCCAGCTAATTGGGCCATATACCGCTTGTCGGTAAACATACGAATTTAGTTATTTATTTAACCATTAGTTGTGTCCCAATATGCGCAGCAGGCCTACCGCAACTCGACCTTCGTATAAGTACCACGGATATGTACGAACGCTATCAGAACAAAGGCACGATGCACTTGGAAGCGTGTATTCTGCTGAATGACTACAGGCGTGATGAGCAGTTGTGATCCATCGACAAACGCACAACCAATCAACCGCGAGGTGGTCGTACGTGCGCACGTAGAGCCATGAGTTAGCCCACACAGCACCATCCATACCAAGTATGTCTAGGATGGTAGTTCCAAGTATCCACAGTTTACTTTTAGGATGACGAGTAACGTCATAATTTAGTTCTGGGGCAGATGAAGGAAACCAACACGATTTTGCGATCGTAATGTTAAATACCATCTTCCAGAGAGCACTTGTCTGACACATTGAAGTGGATGAGAGCAGCATATTGATAAGATAAAAAGTGAGAAGAGAAGATGGTAAACAGTCAAAAATGATTTAAAAATGCATGATGGTCAAACATAGCTGTACAACATAACAGTTCGCCGTAACGCAATCAGGGACCACCGATGACAATGTACAATCGTGCGACGCTGAGGGCACGTGAATTATTCGGCTCGTGGACAGCGGATGCGTGTATGACCTGGCTCACCGCACAGCCCACACTTCCGAACACTGGAAGGACCAGAACGAGATCGTTCGCCGTTGGCCGCCACCAAAGAACGCGGACGTGCCCTGCCTAAAAAAACATAATAAATTGAGGGTGAAGAGGCGGGATTTGGAAAAATGATTGGTAAAAGCAAGAACAATGGGACAGAAACATTAGCGGACATGAAGGAGAAGACTTAAAAGTAGGCAGCTAAGCTGGGTGGGAAAGCCCGATAACAAGCAGATGATTCTATAACATTTCGCGCAAAGTTGTGTAAAAAGTCCAACATTTTGCAAAGAATGCGCAAAATTTTGCAAAGAAAGTCCAAAATGTTGCAAAACCCTGTGCGATTCGCCAGCCACTCAGAACCAATGCTCTGACCTTACGTGTGTTCTCATTGGCCGGATGCCAACATTCGGTGCGTTAGTCTGGGGAGGTGAGCGCGCTGCGCGTTGTCTGGGTGAGACTTGTGAACGAACTTTAGAGGCATGGACTTCGGCGATGCAACAGGCTTGTGTGCGCCTCCTTCACGTCCGAAACGATAGATCACCATGGGTCTGAGAGTAATGAACAGTCGGAACATAAGCGTGTCTATGATTCTAACGTCGTCGGCATGCCTTATCGCGTTGGACAAAGTATCTCATCAGACATTCGTGACCGAGCTCTGGGCGCCTTCGTCAACGGTGATGACTGGCAGCTGATGACAGCTGTGAACAATGTCAAATATCAAACAGCCTACTCCTGGATTCGTCGTTCACTTGATCAGGACCCGAGTACTACGCAGGCGCGTGGTCGTAAGCGGATTAAGTCGGAGGAAGACGTAGATGACATCCTGGATTGGATCGCAAGGGACCTGACTCACGCTACGGCAACTGGGAGTACGAGCAGAAATGGACAAGGACATTTCGAGGTAATCTGTAAGTAGTAGGGGGATTTTATTAGGTTTTTGTATAGATTCGTCGCACACAGAGGCAGACAGCCACCACACATCAGGGAAAGCAATAGACGGCCGTTTCGTCCTATTGGGACTCATCAGTAGCGCGCACCCACCGAATCCTGCCGGATTCGAAACCAGGACCTTACTCTTGCGAGTCAGCGAGTTATGTCACTGAGCCATGGGCGACGGCAGCGGACGGCCACGACTGATACCTAACTGCAATATAGCGCAGCTCATCCTCCACTATCTTGCGTGTTATGAATGCGTAGAGGACAGGGCTGGCCCCCAGAGCCACGAGTTCCTTTGCAAGCCGCCACCAATCGAGGTGGCATGTGAACTGCTAGGGCGACTACTGATTACTTGTAAGTAGTAGGGGGTTTTAGTAGGTTTTGGTGTAGGTTTGTCGCAGTCAGACACAGGCAGAAATCCGCCACACGTTCAGGAAAGCATATCCATAACATGCAAGACAGTGGAGGATGAGCCGTGCTATACGGCAATCAGATATCAGTCATGGCGGTCCGCTGCCGTCGCCCATGGCTCAGTGAAATAACTCGCTCATTCGCAAGAGTAAGGTCCTGGTTTCGAATCCGCCAGGATTCGGTGGGTGCGCGTTACGGACGAGTCCCAATAGGACGAAATCGCCGTCTATCACTTTCGTGGATGTGTGGTGGCTATCGGCAAGTGAGTAACTACGACGTATCTATACAAAAACATTTGGAAGTCAACAATCGCACGGCATTTAGATATTCGATTGATAAGTATGAAGAAACTCTATCAGGTTCCTGAGGGAATGAACAACCAGCGAACCAAAGGGATACGCATGGAATTCGTTCAGCAGTCTCTCCAACTTGAGGGCGATGGCAAGTTCTTCATTTGGGTTGATGACGTTTAAGGCAAACGTACTCGTCGTCGGGCGCCCAGAGGCGTGAGGGCCTGTTGCAAAGTTTCCAACAGTAGAGGCCTCAATGTGAATTTGGATCGGTGTACTCACAATGGAAGGAGAAATGTCGATGACCACCCGGAATGGCTCACTCACAGGTTCGCTATCTCTTGAATGGCTGCGAAGCCATTTAGACAACCTGAAACGGGAGATGGAGCTCCGGCAGGTTGTGGTGGTGTGATAATGCACCATGTCACACACGACTGGAAGAACTGTCGTCAGTAGATGGATATGAGGGAGTAATCATACTGAGATTGAGTCCATACTCTCCGTCCCTCAATCCGATCGATAATGTTTGGCAGGTAGTGAAGGCCAGAGTGAAGAATGAGATGAGAGTGCACTACGAGGAACTCCTGGCCGGGGATCCCCAGAAACTCATGGCGTAGATAGAATGGAGGCTGCAGTTCCTCGAACGCATTCCCAGAGCAGCCACCAAGGAGATCAGCGTTGTGGGATGTCGTAATGCTATTCGACATATACATGCACATTTTCCTAATTGTCTAGAAAAAGCGACATGTTTTGATCACGTTGCTGACCTATTTTTTACGTATCTGGTTGTATAGCACGTCACTGGCAGCGCGTAGGGACGCGTGGGTATTCACAATGATTTCAAAATATGTATGCACATACGTAAATTTATGTGTTCATACGAGGGTTGAAGCGATATCTGATGTCTAGCGCAAGGGACCGGCTTCCAGTAAGCCATGCCCAAGTGATATATTCAACTTATGGTCTTTTTCGTGCTGGTATTCGCCGCACCGAACTCTTTTATGATCAACCTGACATGATGTAGATACGGTTTCTTTGTTCGGAAAACTAGGATGTTTGGAAAGCGCTTTGTAGGACCAAGTGAGCTTGCCGAGTGAAGCAACCGTCAGATATATCACATTATGGGATATCAGCGTGGATAGTTGAATAGTAGTGAATAAGAAATTACTGCGCACGTCATGTCAGGTCTTTACAAGAGTGAGAAGAACTGATAGATGCAATTCGCAAACGCGTCCATTGCCAGACAAGATGTTCTCATTGAAACTGAACGAATGAATCGCGTGTTCAATGGAAACCGTCTCTGTGCGATGCTTGTCCGCTGCATTTGAGTGCACTGGCGCGTTAATTCATTACCCGACTAGGAGTTGGTCTGCCAAGTTCGGAACCCACATCAGCCGGTTCGGAAGCTGTACTTTAGGTTTAAAAGCAACCATTCCTACAGCAAGCCCCATTTAATTTGCGTGCCAGAAAGGCGCGAATAGCTGTCCAGTACGATTTGGATACTGCTTTGATTGTTCGGATGATCCCTCGTTTGACCCAATAGCGTGCGTAAACAAATGGGGATGTAGTTGGGGTGGATACAGTGGCGTAGCGATTACTTTTGCTATCCGTGGCGGACGTACAATTGCTGCAGCTCTCGTAGTTGTAAAGAATGCAATTGTAATTGTCATTCAATATTTCGTTTCACATAACAACAATCACAGAGTTAATTTTAGAGTGCCGTCTTGAATGCAGCTATTTGAATTGTTAAAATACTCGTGTTCAAAATGTACAGGCACACTTTTCGTGCACTACTTGAAGACGCTGGTATCCGAGCTGAGTAGGCGCTCATCAAACGCAATTGAACATCAATGGTCGAAAATCCGGCAGACTTTGTTAGCAGCGGATATGTCTTAATGTGGCAAATCAAATCGCCAACCTGGACATTGGGTCACTACGCAGTCTCAGGAACTTATAGATGCTTGCCAACGTGCTCCGGCTGATATCGAACACAAGGAGACTAGCAAAGATTTCAGGGCCGAACTGTTTGCTAACCTGAAAAGAGACCGGGAAACCTGGTGGCCGAGTGGTCTACACGCTTGGCTTGCAATCATAAGGCCACCGGTTCGAATCTATTTTCCTGGCCTGCTTTGTCATCCTGGATGTCTTCTCGGTGCTCACCCAGTGAGTGAAACCCTCGTCCGTCGAAAAAGATGACTACCCCGTTGACTAAGTGTTACACTGAGCCGATACCATGGAAAGGATGATCAAGTGTCACGATAACTGATCATCGCTTGAATCCTGGTGCCATTTGTGACAAATGTCACTGCCTGTCGTGCAAGTGCGAAATAATACCAAGCAACCGGAGTATGTACGGCACATATATCTCTCAACAGACTTAGGTGCGCAAGAATCCGTTACTACAACTTTTATACCGCTTATCGAGATGATGCTACGTTGTTAAACGTGGTACTGACAGAATATCAGATACAGGCAAATGAAATTTTAAAGTCATTACTACCATCTATCTCACAATTAGGGTTTTCAGACTGCAGCCATGCGAACATCAGAACGCTATAAACTACCCACTCGGAAGATATCTTCGACGAACCAAGATACGTAAATACTACTACTGCCGTTCACATTCATTATGTGGTGTTTTCCCAAGCTCGCACCCTTGATTCTTGGGTTCACTGTGGAAATATTGTTGCATTTACACGAGTGCCGACAATTGTTTACACCGCACATAAGACACAGTGTCTCCATTAGTGACGTGTACAGTTTTGTCATTATTTCAGTTGCAAGAGTTGACCGTATTTTAGCCCGGCCAGCGGTGCACAAGTAGACTGTGTGTTAGTCTGGACTGGCTCAACGTGGGGGAATTAAACTACAAAACTCTAACCAGGAACCTTACTTATATCAACATGATTATTGTAGTTGCAACATTTGAACTCAGCTTAGACCGACCAGTCACATCGCTCACATACCGTTGGCATCTAGGACACTCCGGCACCTTCTTCTATGTGCGACGCCCATGTATATACCTCCACCACGTCCGTTGACAAGTGCAATTACGCGAATCGCGATGACCAAGAGATGACAAGAGATTTTAAAGGCAAGGTTGGATTAGGTAAATGAAATTGGGTGGAAAATACACAGCGCATTGGGGCCTGCCACGAAGTAAGGTGAACGACGTGAAGCCAGTCCTGACTAACACTCAGTCAACTTGTCCACCGCTGGCCGGGCTAAACTACGGTTAAATGCGATCCAATCCAGGATGTCATCTACGTCTTCCTCCGACAGAATCCGTTTACGACCACGCGCCTGCGTAGTACTCGGGTCCTGATCAAGTGAACGACGAATCCAGGAATAGCCTGTTTGATATTTAACATTGTTCACAGCTGCCATCAGCTGCCAGTCATCACCGTTGACGAAGGCGCCCAGAGCTCGGTCACGAATGTCTGATGAGATACTTTGTCCAACGCGATAAGGCATGCCGACGACGTTAGAAACATAGACACGCTTATGTTCCGACTGTTCATTACTCTCAGACCTATGGTGATCTATCGTTTCGGACGTGAAGGAGGCGCACACAAGCCCGTTGCATCGCCGACGTCCATGCCTCTAAGGTTCATTCACAAGTCTCACCCAGACAACGGGCAGCGCGCTCACCTCCCCAGACTAACGCACCGAATGTTGGCATCCGGCCAATGAGAACACACGTAAGGTCAGAGCATTAGTTCTGAGTGGCTGGCGAATCGCACAGGGTTTTGCAACATTTTGGACTTTCTTTGCAAAACTTTGCGCATTCTTTGCAAAATGTTGGACTTTTATGCAACTTTGCGGGAAATCCTATAGGGAGCAGCGGGTAAGAAGATAGAGTAGCACAGAATTCCATCGGTTGAGCTAATGAGACAGCTCACAAGCAATGACAAGAGTAAAATAGCCCAGAAAACATATGTTGATGCAGAGCCCCATACACCAAATGAAAACATGTGTATGGTGACGTGCTGAATGGTCTTAGCTGATAGACTACCATGAATGTTGAAACCGCCAAATACAAATCTGACAAAGGAAGTGTGATTAGGGGAATAGTAACAAAGAGATCAGCGTGCTAGTGAACAACTGTGATCAGCAAAAAGGTGGTGCGTAGAGAACCCAAATAGCTTAACGCAGTTGGATTGATATCGTGACATACGTATACGCCGAGTCGAGGATAAAACAGGTTTATAAAAGAAGAACGTAACGTATAGGGGTGCATTAATGTAAAAAAAAACCTGTCTGCGGTAGGAAAAGAACATCGATGAGGTGATAGACAAATGTTACCCTAAACAATATGCAGCTAAAAATAGGACTTGTTTGTCGAAGTAGCCCTCCGAGAATCAAAACAAAGACTGATCAGCGATCTAAAATCGATAATTGGTGTGCGAAGGGGCATTTTATACCGCACATAAAGATAAAGCACCATTTTACCGATGCGCACACCGAACAGGCGATTCATCTATCCAAGATCACGGACTCGCGTGCAGCGTACATTCGCAGCTGTCTGAAACACTCCCATATCGACTGGAACAAAGTTGCACATTGTTCACAATACCTCAACCACATGTTGTGTCATTCATGTGGCCGCTGCGACGCTGATTCGCCTGCGTCAAAGCGCTAGTTGGCTTGCCACTTGCCGAGTTCGTCGGTTGCTTTCATTCAGTCGATCAGCTGCCACCACCGTCCGCACCGGGTCCGTGTCACCAGCGCCAACGCACTTGCGTTTGTGCAGGAACAAAAGTGTGTCAGATTCCCAACGTTGCAATCCAATTACTTACTGTTCACCCGGTCCGTGTAAGCGTGGTCAACTTGTGCTTGCGGCGGTGGCCGGCTTTCCAGTCTAAATGCCGTGCGTGCGTCTCGCTCGCGTAACCTGCCATCTACCATCACAACGCTCAGTCAAATTGGAGTTGGTTTAGCAGTCGCCTAGCTTAAAGAAAGAATAGGCATAAGTAAACAAGTAGGTGAATGAATAAACGAGGGAGTCAATTGAGTAAATTACGTCACAGATTAAAATGAAAAATAATCTGTGAAATCATACTAGCGATGTATCTAATTGCTAACTCACCACCACGCGAACTTGCTGAGGCTGGAGGAGGCCACATCGGCACATGGCCCAAAGAAACATTGCTCTCAACACTGAAATGATCACGACGACGTCTCGCGTTGCGAAAGCCATCGGATGCCGCCATGGAGAAATGTGACGCAGATGCGGGTGTATGTGCATCAATGTTGTCTGCCCATGCGAAAAAGTTGCAACCACTGTTTGGGCCACCGTCAGAGCCAAGACGACTATTAGGGCATGTGAAAAATTCCCGTCCATGGTTTGCTGTCTGTTTGAGAACTTTTAATCTATGGAGACAAGTGGTATGATGACGGCAATGCATTCTGATCTAGAATTCGAGCGACATGAAAAAAACTAATGACCTACAGAGAGCATGGCCAGTGGCGGGGCCTTTAAATCGGCTGATGCCGAAGTTGCTAAGATATCATTTTTACGCTATCCACCTTGAATATTTTTACGAATGCTTTGGCTGAATCATGTCCAAGTTCTCTGAGACCATCTTACTCCGCTGATATTTAAAAATTCATCGAGATACTGCGAACATTTTGAAATTTTTTTTACTTTCATGGAAATGGTACTATTTGTCGTCACAAGAAGCTGAGAAGAATCTTGATAATTCACTGAACAACATGCTATCGTTGTCTAAAGATGCAAGACTATCTCCTCGAGTGACATCTGAGTACAGTATTCCCATTTTCAACTGTGATATCTCGCATATTTAATGATGTCATAGTTCATTTGCAGTGGATAGTGTAAAATGCTGAAAGTGCACCCAACCGGGGTACAGAAAGATTATTTTAGCTTGACTTGAGACATGCGGCCCGTACAAAGGATGTTGCAATCTTCATAATTTAATGGAACAAATTATGTGGTTGACGATATAGCTGTAGGTATTTAGCCATTTAATCTAGAAATGGCCTATCACTATTTCATTGATCTCAGTACCAGAAAATCGAAATATACAAAGTAAATGGATATAATGAAAGGAAAAACCGACCATACAATGAGCATGAAGACCCAATACGTGTCCCAAAACTCAAGGAATCGCCGGTTAACTTGAGGTAGTAACATATCAGTTAAATGAAAACTGAAAGATAGGATATCATATTCGCTACGAGCTCAAAGGAATGATCGATATAAGTGGAAGCCTTACAGTGAACATGATTTCGTAAAGCTATGCCTAGTGAAGATTACTTTAGAGAAAGTAAAGCAAATCAAAAAGATTTTATTAGCCAGGAACATCTACTGAGCGGATTGATGAAGTGAAAGTGATTACTGGATGAAAAAAACAAGGAGAAATTTCACTGTGTTGTTGCATCCCTCAGGTATATTGACCAATTGTGTAGGCGATTATTCCCAATATTTGTTTATCAAGAAATTTTTTGAATTCCGACAGGGACGCTGCTTCGAATACATGCGGCAGTAAGTTGTGCTATACATTCACCAGACTCCGTTCGAAAACGAGTTGGTCAGCTATCCGCTCCAAATAATATACTAGAAGTTTGTATCTGTGTCTTCGTGTGTCGATTTGAAGTAACTATTGAAAAACGCATTAGCAAGACATGAACATTTGTTGCCGCTGATGTAGTGAAAATAAGCCCTAGGACCAGACTATTGTTGTGGACAACACTGCACAATCAAGTGATATTAATTTGATATTAAAAGTCAACATTAAGACATACGACATGCCGAACAAGCTCCCATTGGTGTCAGCTAAGTAGCCCAAGAATTTCTTGATTAAACTAATGGTCCGATCGTAGTGGATTTCCGCTTGACAAACGTGCTCCCCGTGTTAAACCACAAAGGCCTACTTAACATCACTGCGACATGGCGCGTGCGACACGCCAGTAAATAAAGTCGCAGCCTATTGTCTTGCTTCGAGACATTGCACACCGGTAAGCAATCCTAACACCGAAGTTTGCCACTGGTGTCGAGAGGGTTAAACCACTGGTATGGTTTAACGCTATCCGAAAAGAGTACGAACTGAGTGTTCAATCACCGGTTCCCAACGAGCGCGAAACTCTTATCTCGTCGTGAACATGGACATATGCGGCACATTAGCTGAGGTATAGTGATATAATGATGAACATGGAAGGTAGTCAGCATGAATACCGAAAGCAGAGGGCACAAAGATATTCATGCGTTGCTCCATCAAAATTGGATTGGGCACGCATGCGGCATCACGTCATTAGGTCATGGGTGTTTGCATCATGTTATAGCCGTCATATTTCGAGCAGGAATGATACGCTCTCTAAATTCAGGTGCAGATCGCATGAGAATCAGTGACACATTTAGTGAGTTGTAGTGTCGTACGGGAGCCGGTGTTGCTGATTACGGTTGAAGCTGGCATATTTCGCTACCGACAAGAATGTATCCTTAGATAGGGACAACCATCTTTATTAGAGCAGTAGCAAAAAAGGAAAGAGATGTTAGTGGCTTACAGCTTTGCAGGTTCACCGCACCTACACAAGATAGTGGATGCTGAACCTGATGACCCGAACCCCGAAGAAGAGGAAGCGATCAAGCCAACCTGACTGGTTGGGGCGGACGGATTAGATGTGTGGACGAGGGGGGGAAACCCGGAGGGCAGATGTGGACTGCGAAAAGGCAAGCAAAAAAGAGCATGAGCGTATTGTGTGGAACATAAAAGTAAAAAGTAAACGACAATCAAAAGGAGAAACGAGCAACTCTCCACTAAACTGCTATTACGTACAGGTATTCAGAGCGACCCATGAAAACAAAGAAATAAAATGGAGGCCTGAATAATGGTCCTTCTATTAGGGTTAGTAATCAGCACAGTGACAAAAATGCAAGGGAGCAGCAATACGTCGGTCCGCTGCACCGATGCTTCGCCACCACGCGACCACAACCAGTCCAGCGCCGACTAGGAATTCTGTAAAGTAACCTGTAAATAAATAAACAAGAACCAGTTACTCGGTGGATTACAAGGCGGACGACTCCCTTTATCGCTGCGTTAGCTTATGGTGGACTAAAGACAGACACTACTACACCAGCTATAAGTAGCGCGGAAATGCCAGGATATGAAACGGTAACCAGCCAATAGTAAGCAGTCATGACTCCCCCCAAAGGAGAGGAATACTTTAGAACTACAGTTGTATGCGCGAGAAGAATAGACACGCAAGCAATGCACACCGCACAACCCCTAGACACTGAAGGAAACCCGCGTCATGCAACCTCCAACAGGGACGCCGAAGATGAGTGGGTGTCTCGTTTCTCGGAATGGATGCACCTAATAGTAGCTATGTTTGACACAATAAACGATTTCCCTTGCACCACAGATCATTACAAGCTGCTATAAAGGGTCACAGAAATTAGAGGGGATGATAACAGTGAGACTATGCTTACTTCTGAGTACTAGAGGCCATCGGATTCAGTGAGTCAAGAGGAGACTTCCACTGAAAAAAATCGCATGATCCAGCAGAACCAATACCTCCCGCGCATCGATAGAACAGACGACCTGTGGAGATGGGGAAGAAAGAGAGATGTGGTTGAAAGTGCTAGACCACTAGCTGTGGCATTTTTGTGATTCACAGCATGGATGCCCACAGCATCCACCAATTAACATGTGCGGAGGCTCCATCGATCTAAGAAAGGAACGACGCCAGATTAACAATCACTTGAAAACCACATGGCGCTTGACTCATGATCCAGCAAATTCTGTCAATGAATTTGACGTCCCTACGATTTCTAACTCGTTCAACCTTCAACAAAAAGAGCGACAACACACAGAACTTCAAAATTTACGCGAAACAAACATGTAGCTTCCCAGTGGTAGCCAAAGAAACGTATAGGTTTGAGTTCCGACAAATGTGACCTTAAGCTTAAAGTTCAAAAAACTTCGGCAGCTGAATTATTATTATCATTATTCAACACTTTACCAATACACAATTGGCAGTGCCAAAACACATGGTTAACAACAACAAAAAGGAGGGAAACAACTAGTTATTGGAAGGGATTGGAAGGTTTAGTAGGTTAATGTGCTGTGTTGGCAGCTGAATTAGTTAACTTACATCTACGCACGAGGCGTTCAAATCCAGTAAATATCTATTCATTGGGACCCGTGGTTAGAACGGAATAAAAAATGAGCTCAGTCATTACTGAGATGTGCAGATATACAAAAGCGTAAAAACTGTTTTAATATACAACTGATCGTACCATGAATGGAAAAATATCCTGCGTGCCGGGGAATACACTTATTTATGTGGTTATTAACCTTTTAAAGATGGTCAATGTATTGAATGGCTGTCTTCGCAAACAGATAGTGAAACAGCCTCTAAGCATTTGGAAAAGTGATGGAAGATAGCGTCGCCATTTCAAGACTGGTGTGGACAACCATATGCCTTTCACCAGCTGGGTAGAAGCTGATTCACCTCCGTCCACCATGCATTATTGATGCGACGGCGCTCTCGATTCAGTCGCCATGGAAATTTGCGAACCTGGCTCTCCTTATTGCAGTCCATAGGGTCCGACATATGTACAGTGAATGTTACATTCTTCTCCGACACCAATGCCTCGATGGTTGCAGTCTTCATCCAAACAATTGGGCAGCTTACAGTTTGAACGCTCAATGGTTTCTTCGGCAGCAGCCAACACATGGTCAAGCATGTAGTGCCACAGGTAGCGGATTGAGGCGTTAGGGTCGCTATCGCCAATGCCAGTAGCCATCGCATGCTTCAGTTCCATCATTATCTCAGCAGTAACCAGAGAATAGACATTAAATTTGCACCGATTCCCAGCAGGCAAGCAACAAATATGTATAATTTAGTCCACACCAACTTGTGATCAGTCAGACACCCAGCTCCACGCAAGACACGTGTCATGAGCAATTCACATACATCATGCTGGCATAAGATCTAGTAGATCAGGTGAACGTGCCCACTCCGTGGGGGCGTCTAAGTAGCAATATCACTTGCACCAAGTGCATCACGAGTGTTCGACATCATCAGCCCGTGAGTGGCGCACAGAGCGCAGGCAGTCATCGCTCCCGTTGGCAGAACCAATATCACAAGGATCGATTATGTCTGTCCACAATGCGGCCTCATGCTCAACGCGCGCGCTAAATTCACGGAGAAGTGAGAGCAAAATGGATCCCTCGTGTCAGCAGGTAAGAGATGGTGGGAAATTTGTAGCATCCGAGACGCAATCGAAGAGTCCTCAACCGTGGGCTAGTCGGCTCCGCCACCAGATGGCCATTTACGCAGTCGAATAGTCCACGTTGGACCGCAAGTTCACGTGGTGCTACGGTGGCGTTTCCCACTCAGCCTGATGCAGCTTGACTTGGTCAGACTTGGACTTAGTCTCGCTGAGTGCACCTGGGATAGAAAGCGTGAACGTACGACATTGATTTAACTGTATCTTGCTTTAGTTAGCAAATTTTCTTATTTACAGTCCGCAAAATTTCCAGAGTATCTTCCTTGGGGTTAATCCAATAGGGCAACACAACAGCAGACTTGGCCACACATGCGATCATATCTGATGGGAGGACAACAACACATCCATCTCTAAACTGCTAGTGGTGGCTGCTTACAAGAAAAAACGAGAGGTCTGAAACTGTTCCCTTAATACACCAGGATTGATAGGTCTGCATTGCTTTTTGAAGACAACACCAAGAATGCCTATTGCGGTAATAGCCCCACTTTTGAACGAAGAAGACCAGCGGGTTGTAGACAGGCTGGAGACAAAACAGTCGCTGCCGATGCAAACTGGTACAATGTAAACGAGACAGAGGGAGGAGTCAGGATTGGCCCAGCCTAGAAGGAACAAAGTGCAACTTTGTCACGGACAACGGCGAAGCAGATTAGCTAGAACAGCCGCAATCGGATGAAGCGGAGTGGTTAAAACAGCCGCGAGCGGATGAAACGTATGCGATAGCCAGATAGATAGAGGAGAGCTGATGCGTTCAAAGCAGAAATAGACTGAAGCGGGCAGAATATACAGACCACTAAAGACTGATGGACCGCGGAAGACGTAAAAAATGGTAAGCAACGAATGTGAAGACGCAGCGACCAAACAGGACCCTACACTTATATAGGGCGAAACTACGCCCTGTTTTAGAAACATTTTGATCGTCACGTAGAGATTATTTCGACCCTTGGAGGGCTATATGACCGCTACAGCTTGTATCCTCACGTATTTCATCCTACAGCCGTTAAAATTAACTAGGTCTTGGATGGACTGCAGTTGTGACGTGTGCTGTAATTGATATTGCTAGTAAAGAGAGTAGTATTACCATGCTTTACTGCCCTCTTCATTTCGACCATTTCCCATTAAACTGTCCACCGTTACGACGGAGACGGTTTGGAAATTGCATCACAAAACTAGATATTCGTTAAAACCAATCAAATGTTGTGCACTAAATCCAATATCGAATGATCAAACGCGGAAAGAAGACAGCTAGTGAATTTTGGCTGCTTAAAGTGGTTGATAAGAGCTATACAAGTACCTGCCAAATGGAACATTGGCAGTTCATCTCAGATGTTTGGGCAAGCAGAACAATTCCACTCCCAGTATGTATCTTTGGAAGTGTCACCCGTCACCTACAGAGAACGGTGTGACAAATTTGGCACTGAATACAGATAGGCTTTACGTGTCAGGATGAACCTAGTTTTCATCCATAAAAAGCAATATATACTGGCTTGGCTAACAACCCGTCAGTGGCCTAAGTAAAGGCACAATATTACACTGAAGGGTAGTTTGCGGAGATGAGCCTTGTCAATCAACGAGGTTCTAACTCGTCGGGGGACAAGTGTCTACGAGTCCAGTAATGAGGAGATTCACCTATGAATGGAAGAGAAACATCGAACGAGGCGGCGTGTGAAAGATGTAAGCATTGCATCCACCAGTATTTTGATTTCATAGTGTACGCGAATAAGTGCAAGCTACTTCCCACACACAGCTGTATTCAATGGAGGGGGCGAATGGGCATGAAGTTGTACGAATACACACAATTTCGGGCAGGAACAGAAGTACTCTCTGCAAAAAGTATGTTCTAGCCGGGTGAGTGGAATGGAAAAAAATCAGAGCAGGAAGAAAGGTACTACAGTGATAAAACATAGCGCATAGGAAAGTGGAGGGTGAGGAAATGACACTTACCCTGATTTGGGCCTGCCTTCTTAACAGTAAGAAGTATCGCCTCTTTACCGCAATTGCAGACAACAGCCGCTTCATCGCTAGCGGTAGTTTGTGCAAGAAGCTGATTTCCACAAATACGCTGAGGGTTAAGCACGGTTGAGAGAGACGCAGAAGCAAGATGGATAGCACTAGAAGATGTCGAAGCTACGGATGTTGTGAAGGACCGTGAACCAACAGGTGGGGTTGGTGGGAAGAGGACGCTGTCCCTGGAATGGATGGTACGAGGGGGGCTGGATACGGAGGGGGATCGAGGCTGTACAGAGGAGAAATTCTGGGCGCTAGTCCGACGTGGCAGATTGATACGAATACCAAGAGAATTTTGGAAATCCTGATCGCAGAAAACGCACGTTACATATCTAGAGAGAAAAGTTGCACAGATAAAAGGAGTGAAACATGTATACGGCAAAATGGATAGTGTAAACAGAAGGCAGAAAGTACAAGAGACAAGCAGGAACAAGTGGGCAAAAGCAAAATCGATCACTTTCCAATAGGACAGTATTTGCATCATGGAGAATGCTCTGGGTAACTGTGAACTCAATGGCGTTGAGGTGTGCACGGAGGATCGACTACGCGACTTAGAGTACGCTGATTACAAGGCTGTGACCTGCGGTCCTCGCATATCGCACAAAATATGTTGTGTGCGTTCGATGTTTTCGCACCGCTCGGAATTGCCTTCATTCAATTGCTGATCGGGAGCTGATATGCCATTTTAACCCATCTTGTCCATCTAAACTTCGCTTCGGTGCTGACGGATTGACAGACGATGCCCCTACATAATTCAACAATGAGGTTGCTCTTACTCTGTAACGATGGCGCAGTTGCAATAGTGATTTCAGCTTCGTTCTGTTAGATCTATTCGATCTTAACTATGGTTGCGAGTTGATTCGGTCGTTAAAAATGTACAAAACCAGGAGACTTGCGAAGTGATAGCTCTTTTCGATAATTCTCGTTAGGCATTTACATTCATGAAGAAGGCGCACTCGGACTGATAAATGACAATAGAAGCAGTCAGCGTCAGCAACTTTTCTGTTGTGAATACGAACGTGTGCCTCCATTGAAAAGGTACACCTAAGCTTAGCTGCTAGGGAAGTTGACTTGACAGCTGTTGAAAGGCTTCTAGTTACACGCTCAGCAGCGGCGTCTCCCTTGAAGGGTAGTCGTATGAAAAGTTCTTTTTTCTCTGCTGTCTGAACCTGCAACAGGTCGGGCTTATTCTGCACGTTCCTAAAAATGAAACGATCAGGACATCAGTTTTCGCGCAGCAAATTCTGAATGAACGTCAACTCATTATCCAACTTGTCTTCAGAACAGATTTTGCCAGCCCTTGTGGTTAGACAGCGAATTAGGTTTCGCTTATATCTCAACGGAACGAAACTGTGAAAGTTCGTATACTGGCCACTCCAGGTTTTTTCCTGTAGATCTGCCGTTGGATCGAGCCGTCTGCCCTTTTATTTAACAGCACATCAAGAAACGGCAACTGATCGTTTAATTCTTTTTTCGTAGGTAAACTGCAATGATGCGTGGGCCCGATTAAAACGGTCAAGGCAAAATAAGCTTTGTTCACCAATATGGGCGCAATTTCGGTATTTCAAATCAACACTGCGGTTTGTCGGAGGATTTGTTAGACACACAGACTTTGAAGGATGATAAGCAACAAAACCGTAGCACATGATTCACCATCGCCAGTCAGAGGTTCACATTGCCGAGTTGTTGTGGACTACATGACTGACGCGCTATACATGATTCTGGTCATAATACATGGTGAGTGCTACCAGCTCGTTGAATTCTCCTTTCCTATGCATCATTCCAGATACAAGTTACGACTGCGTTCGGACACCGCACACATACACTTCACTATAAAGGTTTCGATGGCTTTGGGACGTGCTTCACATGTTCCCTTAACGGTTACTTTAACCTACGTCCTTTGAGCAAGCTCAAATTGGCTAGATGCTTAAGCATGGTAAGGCTAACTAAAAATGTGGTACTGAATCCAAAGCTGACGGCGGTTTGACACTTCCGATACCCAGGTTGGTGACACAAAAACCACGGGCACACCCAGCTGGTAACGCTCTCGGATAGGAGCAAGAGCAGCAACCAATAGCGGGCAAATCATAGATCACTAATAAAAGTCCCGTTTAAGAATACAAAAAGTTCAGTTAGCCGCAGTGCTTGATCTATCCTTCAAATGACAGGGAGAACTTTATCTTTGCTAATAGGTCTGGGAGCACTGTCCAAGCATAACTCACAAGCAGACTATGGTGAAACGTGAGAGGTAACGGTGTCAACGATGCGGCCAAAGATAACACTGTGTAACAAAAAAATTTATTTTCTATAACAGAAATGCCAATTTCCCTAGCTTATAGAATACACTCCACTGATAGTAGAAATGTATTTCGATGTTACCTAGCACGCCAGGTTATAAGCCGATGACTATTTTCAGTAATGCCAAGGCTATTATATGTAAATATACTGAATCACAACATATACAGCATGCATCTGTGTGGCAAATACCTTTAAAACATCACTGCAGCATTCGCCGCTAACTACTGACTGCAGCTTGGTACTGGGAAATGATAACTCTGCCGAGATCGTCGCTTGTATGATCCGGCGTCCTCACACTGCAGAAACCAGCATAAGTCACCTACCATAGAAGGCGTGTGCTGGCCACTGTAACCATGCTATATGATTGAAATTTGTTGGTGAAAGCGCTCACCATGCCCAATGCTAACAGATCCCAATTCTCGGAGAAGAACTCAAAGTGACTATGCCAAAAGTGCATCCTGACTGACATCCGGGCACCAACAAGCCGATAGTCCGCAATGAACAAGTTGTGATTTCCTTGTTGTTCTCTGCCTGTGTTCTAGCCAAAAATCCTATGCACACTTAAATGATCCCCACGCTTCCAACTGAAAGGAAGTCAACTGGCATTTGAAAACACTATCTGTCATTGTCCGGCAAATATAAGGCTTAATAAGTATCCCTTCTCTGAGCTCCGCATCACTGATCTTCAGAAACATTTGTTTCACGTACTGAAACACAAAATCACCTCGCTTGTGAGGTTCCATGAAGATTTTACTCAAACCAAGCATGACGTGCAGGGGTGGTAGATAGATATGATTAAGTTGCACAAGTGGTGTTTGCTTTACACTCATTTTCCTTACAGCATGCTCCGGCTTCCGTTTTCGGTTGTTTAGTGCTGTTGTGTTTCTCTACCGTCCCATAAGCAAAAGAAACAGCAATATTTTGTGAAGCCTCTTTGCATACCCATTAGGAGTCTAATGATTTCGAAGTCAGCACAGATGTTTCAACAGTACTTATCGTAGTACGGTGCAGCGTGTATCAATTGCGTACCTTCGTAAGTCTCCTTCATATTGGTCACATGCAACAGAGGCACAGTTGGGTACACATTTCCATTGTGGAACACTATGGCCTTAGGACTGCTGTTGGACGAGTCAATGAACAAACGCCATTCATCACTGATTCGCCTCAGACCAAGCTCCTTCATCAGCCCTTCACGTCGGAGCAGTAACAAAATGGTTACTCACGTGCCATAGAAACCGGACAATTGGATCAGTGTTTGCAGCAAGTAAGTGTCACTGCTGCAGCCGAGATGCCAGCAACTCGGCCTTGTCTTTAGGCAAGTCCTGGTCACATACCAAGTCATTCAGCTCTAAGTGTTCAATGAGACGTGGGATGACTACATCAGCTTCAAAGTTTTCCCAAATGTCAGAATCAGGAGAAGTTGACGCTTCAAAATCATTACTCATCCTCAGAGACATTTTCACTGGAGGCACTGGAATGCGCAAGGTGCAATCATGAGGAACAGGTCTACTAACTGATGGAAGATCGGGGTAATGGATTTTGTCATTGTTTCGGTTGGAGATTCCAATTTCACTGGTTAGGCAGAAGTAGCAGTCTGTCGTGTGATCCTTCGGCTCCCTCCACACCATGGGGATTGCAAAGGACATCTTGCCACTGACCATTGAGTCAGAGGAAGATTTCACGACACAAAAAAGAATATGCGGAACCCACTTCTTATCCTGATCACCCAGTTTCATTCCGAAATATGCGAGGTAGGAAGACGTCAGTAGTGAAGAAATGGGTCTGCACTGCGACTTTGTGGTAAACTATCTACAGACGTAACAAAAATGATTTCGGTCATTGACACAGCAACGCCTTTCAGTCATGATCAAGATAACACTTAAGGAAACCTAGCTCTCAATGGACTTTCTATATCAGGTGGATACTATGGCCAAGATGACTTCTTTTCAACGATTACAGAGAGCCAGTAGACCAATCACAGGTGAGCATTCGATGCATGAAACGCACTTCTTAGCTGAAATGAGAAGTCAAAATTAAAAAAATCCGAAGTGATAGAAACATTTGGTTTGCATATTCGTAGTTAGGTCCCTTGGTATTAACAGAAACATCCTATCTCATTTCTGTTGAAAAATGATGCTGCATAGTGTATTCGACACTCCGTTGAGCGTTAACTCGTAGAATGAGTGCTGCAGATTCTATAATATCCATTCAGTGGGAGAAAAGCCGTCATGATAATACTGTATTCGTGCGACATAGATGAATTCCTTGCGGTACCGAAAGCCATGTAAATGTACAAACTTAACGTCGCACAGAAGGAGGTAGATCCGAAGGGACCGGGTGGTATTAATACAGTGCCCGTGAAAATTATCACTAGATAAAAAAATATCAACTTTTTTCTGTCCGGCAGGATTCGGTGGGCGCGCGCTACTAACGAGTCCCACTAGGACGAAGCGGCCGTCTAGTGCTTTTCCTGGATGTGCGGTGACTGTCTGCCTGTGTCTTAATGCGACGAACCTGCACAAAAAGCTAATAAATCCCCCTACTACTTACAAATGACCAAGTTCTGTTTTGAACACCAGGTTTCAATAAACCCACGTGATTGCCCGCTTGAAATACTTCTGAGGATTTCGAAGTGCTCCAGGTCGAACTAGTGGTTTTCGGCATCCATATGCACGGACATCAAATAGTTCTGATCATGATGGCGAACGGTTAGCTATGTCAAGCTTTCTTCCTGTTTGTCGTACGTAGTGTATGTCACAGTTTCGGTAGCAGATCGTTAAGACTATACCAGATCCTTCCCATTTGCTAAGTTTATTTTTCACTTCCAAGAGTTTAATTCGAATTGCTTGTTGGTCGGCAATTTCAAAAGATAATTAAGGTCTTACTGCCATCTCAGAGATTCCGTTGATGTAAAGCAACGCGACTCGCTTTTCAACGGTTGCATTTGTTGTGGTGTGTTGCGTTGCCTTATGTGGGGCTAAGCAGTGTAGAATGAAGCCTTTTGGACAAGAATTCCGTGCGAACAGGCAGAGGAGACGGTGTTCCTCTGCCTGCCTCAGCTGTGGCGTGCTACAATGAGACCGTCCTTGCTTGAAAAGGGTTAGCACGCAGCTGTGCTTGTGGACTGCCGGATGATTTCTGACATAGTTGAGGACATGGTCCGTATGTGTTGGTTATCGATAGGCCGTCATACTCAGTTGTTCAGAATCAGTCCTAGATATGAGAACGTCTAAAATTGGTAACTGTCCATTATTCTCCACTTCCCTGATGAATTGGTTGGTCGAATTGGTCGCTGCCATTGGTTGCTGTTGATTAGCTCATGTGTCTGTTCTAATTTGAAACGCTTGAGGAAGAGGAAGGTGTCGTCTAAGTAGCGTACCCAAAGTTTCGGTTTCGCAATTGGAAGTGTTATCCGTTCTAACGTCTGCGTCACTGCTTCGGCTATCAGTCCAGAGATCGACGATCCCATTGGCTTGCCTCTTATTTGCTTTTAGATTTGACCATTGAAATGTTCTGTTGGACAGAATTAAAGTAACTCCACCACAGAAGTACAAAATCGGAAACATAAATACCAACTGGTGATTGATCGGCAAAAGGTAAGATGCTTATCAAAGCTAGGATCACAGATGACTGAAGAATTGGAAAAAGTGATAGTTGTTAAAACCTACAAGACATAGTTCAAAACTAAACGGAAGCGTGAAAAGAAGCTGAACCTAATATCGCAACAGAAGCCAACTAAAGAAGACGAGGTGTGGATTACGAGCCTATCCAAAAGAAATTTATCGAACGCTGAGAAAGCAGTCATTGTCCGAGGTATACAACTCAATGTCAAGGACCCAATCCCATCGATTTCCTCGCTGCACTGGAATCAACCCTAAAGTCATACAACATCGCACCGGAAGCACAACAAGAGATCATACACAGGATCATCCAGACTCTCAGTCATAAAGTTGAAACCAACATATTCAGCGCCACGGAACAAAAGGCTCTGATGAATATTAAAAAAGACAAGCGCATAGTTATATTTACGGCCGACAAAGGATGCCTTAAGGTTTTAAAGGACAAAACCGATTACATGATGTAGGCACAAGATCTGCTCAGAGACACCAACACATAACATCATATATTCTACATGGTGTGGCCCTTTAAGTAAGGATATGTGAAGACTGATTTGTATGCAACTGGTTCCATATTGCAACCCCCTTTCAAATCAGAACTGATGGAAAGTAAACAAATGCCAGTACAGAGTTGCAATTCGACAGAATATATATATATATATATATATATATATATATATATATATGCGTGTCCAATTCAAACCATCAACAATAACTGGAAGTAGGTCAGGGGAAACCTTTATTGAACGCCCCTGAGGTTGTTTGCATTCAGCAGATGTATTCTGTTACATCTATGGACATTTTGTTAAGACGAAGGCAAGAAAGTACTACGTGGAAATCTCTGCAAATATATGCAAAGCCTACAACGCATACTTTAGAAGTCCCGTCTGTGATCAAGACAAATGGTGAGCGTCTCATTTAACATGTGAACAATGCAAAACTCTTGAAGAATTAGAATGTAGAATACAATATCTTTGTGATAGTCTATGTTAATATTTCGCTCAATAATTTGCAATGTGTATTATATTGTGTTTATAGGTTGGAGAGCCATGAAGCTTGCTGTTCCCAGAATTAGGAGGGAATCAACAAATCACTTAAGCAAGTGTTACTTCTGCATGGTGGACCTTTCAAAACGTTGAAATTGCAAGAGTGCTCTTCCCATCAGCTATCCAGGGATTCCTTCATCCATCGCCCCAACACGTGTGGTGTCCTGATTTTGCCATTTTCTTTCACTTGAGAAGGAACAACCATCTTCAGGAGAGAGCACGAAGTCCGACGGCGAGCTAGGCACTACAGACCCAGGTTACAATTTTGCAACGGGAGATGAGAGAAAACCATAGTCCCCCAACCAAAAGGACAGCAGTGAAATAACTGGAGACCTTAGTATGACATATAGGTTGAAGAAATGGAAGCTGTTGGATGAAAGTGCGCAAGTCACGGATCAGAGTAGGTGTCACCAAGGCCTTTCCAACTTATTTACTAAGCCAGATGGACTGTATTGGGACAACAACGTTGCTGATCCATTCAGGGCTATAGGAACCACCTGTAACTCAAATGAATGGAGCCCAATTGTAGGCTGTTCATCCAGAAGCCTGAAAGCTATGTTGCTTCATAACGGGAACATATACCCGTATCTCCATATGGCTCGTTGTGTACATATTAAATGTTAACATGTTGCTGAGTGCTTTGAACCATGACGACTATGACTGGGAGGTTACTGGAGGTTTGAAAATAGAGTCACCAGTTTTCCTGCCTTTTTGCCGGTGGGACAGCCTAGACATCAAGACATACTATCACCAGAAGGAGTGGCCGCAGTGAATAGAATAATCAGCGGGAAATAAGAACGTCAAATGGCAGTCGCTGGTAGACTCCCAGAAGGTTCCGATGTCACCAATGCACATCAAGTTAGGCCGCATCAAACAATTTGTCGGGGCTCTAGACATAGCTGACAGCTTTCAAGTACCGTCACGTACTCCTTCTACAGCTATCAGATGCAAAGGTCGAAGCTGGTATCTTCGGTGGACCACAGATGAAGCTTACAGAATGTACTGAATTAAAAAAAACTAAGTAGGACAGAGAAAGCCGCTTGGAACCGTCTTGTTGCAGTGATTCATGGCTTCCTGTGCAATCACAAGGCTGAAACTATGAACAACTGGTCAAGAGAATCATAGAGAACTACGCCAAAATGGGATGCAGAATGTTCCTCAAAGTCCACATGTCTGACATTAACCTCGAGAAACTAAATGGAGAACATGGGAGCTTAATCAAATGTACCGTCTGTCGGTAAATCTAAAAAAAATTTTAGTTTATTTATTTATGCTAGTACATGCACTGTCTTTTCTCCGACAACCGGAATAGAAATTCAGTGTAAAAGTTTGCTTGCTTTGACTATAAATTCTAATATTTTGTAGGCTGTGGTCATACAGCCGAAGTCCATTATTATTATTATAGGTTTGTTGTTTGTTTTACACACAAGCAGTTGAAATATAACATTTAGAATATAGGAACACTGTATATTGTGTAATCATCGGTCGTACATAAGGAAAAAAGCCAGCGACACCAAGTGAACCTCAAGTATAGAAACACAAAAAGTGCAGCACCATGGATAGACCAAGTTGGATCAAACTAGTGTGATATAGTTAAAAAAGTCGGAAAAAGAAAATAAATCGAACTTTCATATTCCCATTTTTAACTCTTGCTACGTTCTCCCCTCTTACCTATCGAAATGCTCTCATGTTAACATGACAGCTGATAAGTAAAGGTAAAGCGAGTTCTCATTCTTATTCGTCCGAGAAATGTTAAATCCCTTCCCCACGCAGCCACTCTCACACTGAGGGTTATATGTTTGCATGAAGGCTGATGGTGGAAGGCAAAGTGAGTCCATATCTTCACTCCTCAGACCCTTAGTATGATGAAGAAAGATGAACCGAGTCGAATGCATGTTGACATTTGTTCTTACTCTGCCACGCCCACCCGAATACAGTAGTGTATCCATGGTGGCGGATATAAACAGGAGTAAGTGTCCTCATGCGCACTAGTCCTGCATGTAACATTCAGCGTAAGACTACCCATGCGTATATAAGCGCCGTAAGCAAGATATCAAGGGGTCCGCATAACCTTTGCCAATCGCATTTCTAAGTGGACTATATCCAAACTTTTACAGATTCGTTTTGCTATGGCCCGATGTATCCGACATGTTTTTCCCTCCCGTTCTGAGCCGGAAAACTTGCATAGTCCAACATCTACGAAAATTTCTCGGCACGTATGAATTTACTCTTGGCCTAGTTCGTAAAAATACACCGGAGTACTACGCGCAGCAACATCTCCAGTATCAGAGCTACACCAAGCAATCAATATGAGTCGGCAGCCGAATAGCGCCTCGGGAAAAGCAGCTTGCACATTAAACATGTGAGATATGAACTGCAATTGAATTGCTAAAAACGGATCATGTTGAAAACGGCGTGCCTCGTGTAGTCGAGAAAACACAAGATAATAATAATAGTAATAATAATAAAATTTTAAAACGTATAAGCATGAGCGGAACTCAGTGTCAATAGACGAAGCAATGCCGAAACTAAATGTTTATGCTACATGCAGGATAGTCTACATTTCCGTCACAGTCATGTAAGTGGCAGATAGCGTCGTCATCGAACATTTTACGTGGAACTAATAGGTGAAATAGTTCACCTACTGTGTTGCAGTGGGTAACGTGCCGAATTGCGAACAATCGGAGGTCGTAGTGAGCATAGAGGTAAAACTCAAGGAAGGTAGACGAAAAAACCTACTCCTTTTCCGTTTCATCTTGGTAATATACACCTGGCACTTGGGTGTGTAGGCGCAACCGGAAAGCCAGTTTTAATGGGTGCTGGCATGAACCATTGGAAATAGGTGAGCGTGGAGGACAGTCATTGCATTGCTCCGGCCCGTTCGGCCCCACACTTATTCGGACGTTCAGCACTGTTTCCGGGAACCAAACGGCATACCGACAGGAAGGATATCCAGAACAGGATAAAAACCACAACGTTGGGGAACACGGATTGGGTGCGTCATTTTGGATGCTGTTTAGGTAAAGATGTGAGAGATGAAAAGTTCAATGAAAACGGTCGAGAAAACATTCACGGTGACACAAATTCGCCAACACTGAGAACACAGACAAATGCTGGAAGAACGACAGAATAAAGCTAGTAAGGTTACTGATGGCCCCAAGTTGTTAAGCTGGGGCTAACAGGTTATAAAGGTCATATGGTGGTACCCCGTTGTTATATCATTGGCGATGTTTCTAAGGGAGGCTCGGACCGGTAGCACAGAGGTGGAAAGTCGAAAACTGGCCGAATGGTAAAACCAGCGCTTACCAGAAATGCATGAAGGAGGACAACGGTGATAAATTAGATTCGGTGTTTAGTCGGGCGATGATGAGGACTGCAACTGAAATCTACGATGGATCGACAGACCTTTCGGTAGAATAACAACGTGCCGGTATGCCTCATAGATGTGAGTCCAGTGGTTCAACTGAGCGATCAAGGGTAGAGATAGATCATGTGGTGGTGAAAGTAATGGCAGAATCAATCCTTCGCAACTGGCTCATTTCAAGATTTCAGGTGATATCGACAATGCAAGTGAGTACCCGCATCACTTTCGTTGCTAGGTAAAGAGCGTACTCGGTTTAGGAACAGCAGACCGTGGGTAGAGTTGGTTTTGTAACCAGGTAATCAAGCACAAACGTGATGAAAAGAAGCACAACAAGTGAAAACAGGGTGGTTTTTTATTCACAAATCACCAATGCGCCTAAGTCGCAAATGCTCTCAAGACAATAGAAACGAGTTCGCTGGGACTTGTTACTGAGGTATGTCAGGTTGGAATTCTGCTTCTTGATTGATGACCCACAAAACGCAGTTGATGTACTACATTAATCTCAGTCTCGACATATTGGCTCCTATGAAGCACAAACCCTTTCCGTTAGATCGGAAAAAGAATGCTTCATTAAACATAGCGGCTGGGTTTAAATAGCTACTGTTATAATTGAGGGAACGCCGCCTCTTGATATAATTGCGTAATTGCCTGATAAGATTGTCGCTGGCACGGTTGGAGCACGCCTACGATAATTGCTTGTAACGCTGGCCAATCGAACGGAGTTGCGCTGACCTGACGACGCTAGCTTAGCCGGTGAGACGAAAATTGAGCGAGCGTGTGAACGATCCTAGCCGCATGTGTTCGGATAGACGCTGAGCTTCGGAACGGACGCACACGAGAGGGGTTTACAATAGACGCGCGCTAATGACTTAGACGCGAAGGCCGGCCAGCTAACGACTCACACGCAATCACGTGACCCGACCGACGCCCAACTGAGGCGAAGAGAAAGAAAAGGCAAGTGGTCCACTGTAGGCTCTTTTACGACCAACAAAGGGCGACCACAGCCAGTACTATGGGTCCTTAAGTTAGAGAAAATTTCTACCACGACGAGATGATAGTTTGGAAATGACCATTGTCAACGGGTGCGCAGTTGGGTCGCGTCTCTGAGTTGCTGAGCTCTGCTGCGTTGTGGGGAGGAATTGGACCTCGTTTTCCACAGCCATTCTGCCGGGGTTTCTGGCGCGTCTTTGCGGGAATATTTGACGTGTCCGTAACAGATACTAATGGCCTACGCGCAAAACGAATGGCATCTTAATCATGATGCAAGACCATAATCTACCCACATCGTTTAAGCTGGCTTAGTAAGCCATACAAATGGCTGAAGAAAAACAGGATATCGATAGCCGATTAACAAATCGTGAACTGATCAGTCATTTAAAGCGCAGAACTATCAACTGTAACCAAGCCACAAGCACACTCTTAGCACCAGATGTCCACAAGATAACAGATTTTGCTAAAACTAAGTAATTTTTAAACAATATTTCTGCACCTCCTTCAACGTAGATACTAAAACCATATGTATAGTCTTGCCACCAGTCACAGTCGATCAGCTCAACTTTATCCAGTTGGAGCTGCACGATTACATAAACCAAGCAGATACACAAAATTAGTATATTTCAGAGGGTCAGACAATATTCCCTCGGCAGTCGCGAAAGTGGGTGGGGATGACATTTCCCTGACAATCTATTCATGAACACCAGCACTGTACCGGCTCAGTGGAGAGAAGCAACAGCTGTGCTGCAACATAAATCAGCCTCCCTGTTCGAGCTTAAAAATTATTACCTAATAAGCTACACATTTATCTTATCAAAACGTATTGAACCAGACATCAAAGATAAAACTGTCGAATTCTTACTGTCAAATAAGTTAAAATAGAACACTCTTCCTGAATAATCGGTCTGGCATAACGTGCCACTTGGAATTTCTAAACCAAAGAACTGCAGCGCATGATCTTGGATTATTGGCAACTTCGAATTACTTCGAGATGCCCAATGCCTCACGAAAAACTACTAGTTAAAAGGATGCCCTACGGGATCGGCGAACCACTGCTTTCTTGGTTCAGGTCATAACTTACGAATCGATCGCAAGCGGTACAAATTCAAGATTACAAATCGGAGCCTACACCAGTCACCAGTGGTGTGATACAAAGCAGTGTCTTTGGACCGCTACTGTTCTTAATGTATGTTAACGAGAACCAGTACAATTCCGTACACCCGTTTGCCGATGACCCAAAAATCGTGTTTTCTTTTCGTCCGGATGCCTCCAACGATGCTCTCAACAAGGTCCAACTCAACCTCCATGCGCAGAAAATCTGGTGCTAAAAGTGAAAAATGTCATTCTCTACTGACAAATGTTGTTCAATGCCACACAAGTGCGATTTGGCTCCTAGCGCCGGACTCTTGATGGTAATCCACTTAGTCTATGTACCATGGGAAGAGACCTGGGATTGCAATATCTATACTAACTTAAGCTCTGTGAACAAGTATGCTGTGCCACCGTTAGAGCAAGACATGAAGTCGGATTGGTATTCAGGACTTATTTCTACAAGAGTCAATACCACATTCTTAAGCACAGATGCTGAACCCACGTTGGAATATTGTTCGATCGTGTATAGCAGCTCAAAAAGGTGACCGTGTTGCAATGGAACAAGTACAGAAAGCATTCAAAAAACGCCTCTTAGGTGCTTCTTTCAAACTGGAATAATCTGAAAGATTTGATAAGCTCAAGCCTGATTCGCTCTGGCTATGGCGCATGGAGCATTACCTAGTTACATATTTCAGCATCTTACACAAAAATATACACGTTTCCAACCTCAACTTAAAACTTATGCAAGCAGCCGTCTATAAAACACCTGAAACAAAGAGAACGCAGTGGCGGAATATAAGTCCAGGTCTGACAACTCTTTTCTTAACAGGTAAATCAAAGTCTGAAACAGGGTACCGCCCGGAATACGTCCCTGCACTCTTGAAAACGAACTTCGCAAAAGCACCAACAAGTTTGTGACCATACTGAGTGTGAACAAATTGTTTGCTTATAGCACTTGTGTGTTACCCGCCCGAAAACACTGCACTACTCTTTTGGGCGGGCAACACCCAATTTCCGTTTGCATCAGCTACGGTCCTCGTGATCGAAAGACCACTTCAATGGGAATGGCGGTCAACATGGAGAGTGTGCATCGCAATCCATCAACACAACGTGTACTTCAAAATGAACCTGAAAATTGTTCACGTATTTCATAACTGCAAACCAAGTGTACGAGCAGGATCCAGGTTTCGTTTAACCCCACAAGTGTTTCGCCACCACGCTCTCTTCTGTGAACAAGCCGAGCTCAGCGAACAATAAGACAACCAACTGAACAAGCTGTTTTATAATAAGAAATACGTGACAGCGGTTAAAGGATAGCGAACATCATTTCACTTCAGCCAGTTATTATGTCTTCGCTGTCATTATCTGGTCTGAATTTCGATTTTATTGATCCACCTGCGACCAGGGTTTTACATAAGGATGCACTTATCCGATCATTCCAATACAAACGTGTTGCAATGTCGAGAATAAAAGTTTATTGATTAATTAAAAATAATGGTAAAGCTGCCGATTGAGTCCACCTTGGATAGACCAGAAGGCAAGGTATACCAAAAACAAGTGCGGATAGGGTGGCTGAAAGCGTCTGAAGTAGTGCTCGTCAACTCACCCACGGGTTGTGACGTTGTTCGACCCTTCCGTTAGCGGCCGCTGTTGTGAACGCCTTTGGCGCAAGTTCACCCCACGAGAACAGGAAGGACAAGTAATCACAGGTATAGGGGGTGGGTAATGGCCAGCGATGGTGTTGGAACCAAAAGTACTAGTTACACCTGAAGGATATATTTGCGTAAAACAAAACAATAACAAATTAAGGGTAACTGTCAGATTAACAGCAACGTAGTATCCAGTGCTTGAATAGAAACCCGTGCTCATGATGAGGATAGGTGAACTGCATCGAAAAACATGAATGAAGATGTATACTTCTAAGTGTCAGAAAGAATGCGCGAATAAAGATTTAGTACTTCGGTATTAACTGTTGGTAGGATACACTGACGATGGACTCCAGAAATTTGTTTCCGCTTCTCTCACTCTAAAGCACATTGAAGGGTAACAAAACTGATGATGCGAGGACTTTCGAGAGGTAGTTAAACAAGTCCAGCTCATGGTAGGTGCAGGTGTTTAGCCATTTAGGAGGCACGTCAAACGAGCACAACGATGAGTACTCGAAGAATCAGATTAAGAAAGCAAAGACAAACTGATAAAGTTAGTTAGAAGATTTAGATATTTTAAATGAGGACTGTGGATTGTCCACCGAGTGTCTATCTACAATATTCCGGGAAGGGTTCGTCGTGAAACCCGCAGGGTGGGTATTTAACGAAAGCAGTAGAGATACGGAAGCCAAACTTGCAAAAGGATGAAATCGAATGGTAGACGAGTGTGATAGCTTGGTAAGGATGGGAACATCCAATCCTTGGAGATGTACTAAATAGCCTTAAATAAGGACCAAGAGTTTAATGGAACCATAAACAAGTTATTTTCAGGACGGGGGTGTATCGACAATACAGAGTTTACTCGAAGGGCTAATACAGCTAAAAAGGGAGTCATATCATGCCAGCTGTAGTACGACAACAAAAAAGCTGCAAATAACAATACCACGGGAGCGTAAAGATAGTCCTACCAGAAGGAATACAACTTAAAGCGCACAGGTGAAATAGCTATCGGATCACATTTATAGAGAAGTTTGCAATCGGAAAAGCTGGGACATAGTGACGATCGTGGATTGTTTAATTAACCATTTCTCAGGTTTCCGCAGTACGTCGGCGCACCGTACCGACGCCTCGCTGCCACACGATCATTAAGAGTAGAGCGAGCGCTGGCTATACTGAGAGGATGCATGTGCCCACGCGCATTCGGAACGCTGACCTTTGGATCACAAGGCAAGCGAGTGGTCTTTTCGGCTATAAAATGACACCATTTCTCAGCGTCAAAAAACTCACGGGTGCGTGAATTAGGTTGCAATGCAGGCGATGAAATACCAACGTACAGCCCATATGCAGTAAGCAACGATAAGTACGGCAGTGGTGGACAGTACAGAGTCCACATAAATGTAAGGATGAGTAAGCAACGGAGATCCCAGCTGGTTCCGACCCACATGACAAGCCACTCAAAATGCGAGTGCAGCCAAGCGATTCAGTTAAATAAAAACGTGTCAGCTGTACGCCGTAACAAAGTTTCGCTGCCCCGCGACCACCACCAATCGCTTGCGGACTGAGTATACCGCGAGGAGGCCCACCCCTACGCGATTCGATTACAAGATACACCATTCTCGGTATCCTTGGCCAGTTGCCTGATAGTTTGTCAACCTTAAAAGGTGCAAACATGCTAGGTGATAGATGTTAAAACACAGACATGTACAAGTAAATGGAAAGTAAACAGCCGCACTGCGTCGTTGACGAAAGTCATGTAATCAACATTAGCAGTGATTCCGAGGAGGTTTCCCCGATTCTTCTGTTTCCTTTGGTCCCATCTGTGATGGCAACTAGGAGTAGGCTTGCCATAGATGAGTGCATAAAAGGTTACCAGCGTAATCACCAATACAGATGGCAATAGTAAGTACATGGAAAACACCTGAACCCTGACTGTGTCTGATAGGCTGGACTCGTGGTCATCACGACGTAAGGGATGAATGAGCAAGGCCAAACAAACCAGCTTGTTAGAATTACAACTAAAATCCTGCTACTCGTGAGTAATACAAAAGAACCTATCAGTTACAAATGGGAGCTGTACGGCCAGATCGAGTATAAAACAACACATTTCTAACAATTTTATGGTATCGTGTGTCAGTTAGCCGTATGGATGGTACCGCCAAGCCTTACAAAACATCAACTGCGGTAACGCGATATAATACTGAGCATCATTAACAATGAACATTCATGCAGACGATGATTACCCACCGACAGTCAACCTACAGCCTTACTCATTACCCAGGATCTGTTTAATCGTAGAAATAATCCGGCGGAACCAGATCGCAAAGAAGTGCATCGTTCGGTAAGTAGCAGACCAAACAAAGCCTGTGCAATGATCGTGAAGCCACAGCGTGCTCCGAAAACGGAAGCCACTGCTCTCTCTAACATTACTCGCAAGCTCCTCCAGTACTTTCGGTGTGCCTGCCACAAGAAGCCTGGTGTCAGTGAGAAAGTAGCGAAGATGATGGTTCATCGATCCTTGACCTAAGAAGGAGGAGATGTTATCGATGGGTCGTGCAATCAATGCAGTGTGCCCTAACCCATTTGCTCAAGTACGCAACTGCTTGCTTTGGGACGTCGCAATGAATCCATCCACCGAAAATGACGTCTCCTTTGTCAATAGACACTTGCTACGACTGAAGGTAGTTGGAACAGAAGACTTCCTCCAGGGCTGCTCAGGTATGGAGGTGCAGCAGTCGTCAGGATCCTGAGCACCGTTCCACAAAAGTATGCAGAATGGAAAGAACCTTATTCTAGACCAAGTCAGCAAAATGTCTCAATTTTCAAGCGTGCGAACAATTAACGCCTCAAGCACTGAGGAAACGATGTCATTTCCGTTGCTCCCAAATGAATGGCGCCCATTTCGTTCCGTAAGCCTTGCAGAACCCCGAATCATATTATCGTGACGAACAAACTGGCTGCCGTTCTGATCGCTGACATAAGGATCAAATTTTCAAGGGGCGACAAAACCTCGAGCACCGCCACTTCCAACGGAAGCTAACCATCGTTACGTTTGAAGGCATACAAGGTACATTTCTCTCGGATGATCAACCTGCCATATGAATTTCGGTCCCAGAAAAGTATGCTTATAACCTACACGCACTGTATCGCTAAGCCCGCGACATAATGATGGCTCATGGCAAGCGGTTGCCGTTTTTCAATGTCATTAGTGTCGCAAGGCAATGTTGCAGTATGCCCATGAACACTGCCAATTACACAAAAAAACGTCGTGCCCCGAACGACACATGGTCACCAAATCTTGGACTAGACCTTCAATTGGGCAAGTGAGCAAACAAGACAATGGGCAGACCATGGCTGACCGGTTGCGACAACGACACGCGCAAATACTGAAGCCGTGAAAAAGGTGAATCCAACGACGATCAACAAGTAACCTACAGAGCAACAATCGTAGAGGGCGAAGAGAAAAAGGATGACCGTCAAAAGTAAGAAGAAGCACAAAGAATGTAAAAATTTGTGATCGATTAGTTCCTCTGTAAAGTGCATACACCAAAGGACGGCGGGATTAGGTTAGTCGTCATCATTAACATAACAAGGAATCAAATGACATGATAATCTAACTTGCGATCACAATCTCAGCCAGCTGAGCCCATGATCGAAGTCATTTGGGTTTCGGGAGTGTAGTCACCTCTTTCCGTTTGATAGTCGGCCACGGCAGTCGTAACAATTGTAGCACTTTCATCTGAACAAATGGGCCCGTGCTCGTTAGCTCCATGCATATTGCTTCCACAGTGGCTAATAACCTTGCTCTTACTTGGTGATTATGCCTAGACCGTACGTTGTAGAGAATATGGAAAGCGGTTTGTTTGTTTACCTGGTGGCCGATGTTGAATGGTTGGTTCGTAACTTGGTATAGGCAGAAGACATCGCCGCAATCTGCGGTTCTTCACAGGTGGCCCAAAATGTGCTGTTTAAGTTGGAGGTGCCTGTCTCTTAATTTGGAATAATTCGCCCCATAGAAATGTACTGTCTTTCTACAAGAGTGGCTAGGAACTGCTCCTACTTTTGCCCTTTCAGGACGTTATCCGGAAGTAGTAGACAAGTTATCTCGGAAGCTGCATCAACACCAACCGCTTAACGGATGAAGTCTCTTTGCGTGTCTCTGTGGCGCACGTTATTATTGCTGATTTACACCATCTCTGGTGTCGACGCGACATGAGTCTCTCTCTGAAGGGCCAAGTCTACCATGCCGTAGTAAGAGCGGCTTTGCTCTACGTTTTCGACAGTTGGCCAATTCGTCCAAAAGACGTTCAGAGGCTGTCTGTTTTTGATCACCGCTGCTCTCGGAGCATTGCTGATGTGCGATGCGAATATCACATTAAGATGTTGGTCGAAGAATTTCCACATCAGACAGGATGTGCCGGCCGCTGAGCAGCATAATCTCACTACTCTGGCTGGGGCACGTGATTCGCATGCCCATTGAGCGTTCACCTAACCGTGCACCCTGCGCGTGCAGTTTTCGTCTGGAAGCGAAGACAAGGTGTCTAGCGAATGAATTGAGCCAAAACTATGGAGGCACCAACCGCAACTGTTCGCGGTCGGGCCTTCTCGGCACCCTAGACTGGGATCGCAAGGATCATGACTCAAAACCATATCAGATAGGGAACATGTGATTATATTCCTACAACCATATTTTTACACATTTTCCTTTCTCTCAATCGTTTGCCGGAAGCATGATAGCTTACGGCGTTCATATAGTCCAGCAGATGCATAGGATCACCCAGACAAAATACGCGACGACCCACTGAGGCACAAGGGAATCTGGGTCACCGGCTTTGATCGAGGTGAACGACGCCCATGATCAAGAGGAGGACTTGCACAGTTCGGTTGCATTTGCGCGAGCACAATGTGACCTGATATTAGGCGGTCACAGCGAAAGAACTCCGTGACACAGTTTCGAGACGTTAAGTGGGCCCGCGGTAAGTCAAGCGGAAAGCTGATGAAATTAGTTCGTCATCATGACACAGGTTGCTATGCGGCCGGCGTAAACGCGAATACAGCTAGTCAATGGAGACCGACAGCAGGTTTGCAACTATCTCCGCCTTTTCCCGATTGATTGCACCCATAGTGCAATTGCATTGCCCCCTAATGCTCTAATTTGCTTCCGCAAGCCAATTGAACATCATGTTTAACGCATGTAAAGTACATCCAGTATCATTTCCACGCACCAAGCGCGCGCAGTGACCTTGGAATTGAGCTAGTCCAAAGCAGTCAATGACGATAGATGAAATAACCCTTGCATGAATGTACGAGTTGGTGGTGTGTGATGGAGACGCGTAGGCGCCTAATCTGAAGCTAGTTCCATGCAGCTTAGGGACACAATGTTGTTCAAATATGTGGTGCGACTGGGTGGTGGGTTCAGTGTGCGTAAGTGGTCTACCATGTACGTAAAACATACCTGGCGAACGGCACAAGTTCGGGGTAGGGACTGCGAACATTGTAATGTCACACCACATTAGCGATCTTATTGCCAGTTCGTCACTCGCACAGCTCAAGGTTTTGGACGACCTACCAACGCTCCAGCATACGACTGTACCGTGTCCGGATTGCGCGGCCGTCACAGGTGCACGGCTGCGAATGACGGTGTCGGTGTGACGGACTTGCTATTATAACGGCAAAAACGGCCTGCGCAACCGAAATTCAGGTTGGGAGTTGGCCGGCTTGTGTTACAGCTAGTCGTCTTGAGCGGCGGTCTGCTGAGAGGGCTAGTGCCGATATGCGACTGTGGCAATTTTGTTACAAGGCAAGTAGGCCCTGCTTTGTTGCAACTGGCGTCGCTTACTCTCATGAAGTACACCGACTTGATGGTCGCTGAATCAAATGAGATAGTGCGACCGGGCTGTCGGCAGTTTGCATCGGCTGATTTGTACGCACATGCGTGGGCTTACTGGTGCGGACTGACGGCAAGGATAACTGACACGCAATTCGGTGCGCATCAACTGGATTCGTATCCCGTACCCAGTTAAGTGGTTTGTTCACAAATGGGAGTCACTCCACCGTTGCTCGTCATTTTTGTCTGGCCATTTCACCTCCTCTAGCAAAGGTATTTGGCTGACACAGCATATAGGCTAGCGCACCTCATTTTCTTTCTACGGTAGTTGTGGCTGCAAAGCTCACAATTACCGGTGGTCGATATCACTCAATTTCCTACCTAACGGCCTGTGAACACGTTGTGCTCATTCGCAGATGGCAGTACGATGGTATATAACGGGTCAAGTAGCTAACGCTTGGCATGTCCCGTAGGATGGCCGTAATGAAGCGAAACACTAGATAATAAACGTACCAATAAGATGGCGTGTGACATATGTTGTGTCGGATCCCCACGACTGCTTTCACCGACTAACGGTAGCGAGAACACGAACGACCGGGGACAGAAATTCATGGGTTCCTTTACATAACCAAACCAGTTCGTTATATAGCATAACGCTCAAGCATGAAAGCCAACCAGAGTACGGAAAGCATGCAGACAATTAAAGCCAATACGAATGGAACAAATGAGGAACCAATGAAATGCACCCAAAGGATGTAAACTGAGAGTGATGTCGTCAGAGTATGGCTGCGATCGGAACGCAAAAGCAGTAACTTCAAATAGCCAATTTGGATAGCGAAATGATGCATTAAAACAAACCTCGGTGGACCTGCATAGCAGAACAAAAGTCTGCAGTCATGGACAGCTATACAAGCGTATCTGCATTTTTCTTACTCCTGCAACACCTCCCTCTTCTTGCAAACGAGTTACCTGGAGGTCACATAGTTCTTACGACGCGGATCCATCTGGAGAGGCTGCACAAATTCACTATTAGTGACTCACCATCCCAATGAATGACCGTAGGGTTGTGACATCCGATAGCCCAGGTATTCGGTTTATCACCTCGATATTTTCGAGATCGGGTCGTTGGGCTTTTTCGTTAGTCACGAAACCCAGGAACTTAATTGATTTCAGGCAAAATCTGCACTTGTCCGCTCGTAATCGGAAAGCGTAATCCTTGACTCTGCAACACATCATTCAATCGTTGAAACAACAATTCATCTTGCGTCGAGCCCATTATGACGATGTCATCCAGGTAGGCTGCCGCTCTAGTTACACCCGTCAGCATGCCATCCATAAATTGCTGGGAGATTACTGTTGCAGTTTTGACTCCAAATGACAAACGGTTGTACCGGTAGAGACCACGATGCGTTAGAAGTTTTTTGCTTTCAGGTTCAACTTTCAACTGCGAATAGGCTTTACGTACATGGTAGACCACTTACGCACACTGAACCCACCACCCAGTCGCACCACATATTTGAACAACATTGTGTCCCTAAGCTGCATGGAACTAGCTTCAGATTAGGCGCCTACGCGCCTCCATCACACACCACCAACTCGTACATTCATGCAAGGGTTATTTCATCTATCGTCATTGACTGCTTTGGACTAGCTCAATTCCAAGGTCACTGCGCGCGCTTGGTGCGTGGAAATGATACTGGATGTACTTTACATGCGTTAAACATGATGTTCAATTGGCTTGCGGAAGCAAATTAGAGCAGTAGGGGGCAATGCAATTGCACTATGGGTGCAATCAATCGGGAAAAGGCGGAGATAGCTGCAAACCTGCTGTCGGTCTCCATTGACTAGCTGTATTCGCGTTTACGCCGGCCGCATAGCAACCTGTGTCATGATGACGAACTAATTTCATCAGCTTTCCGCTTGACTTACCGCGGGCCCACTTAACGTCTCGAAACTGTGTCACGGAGTTCTTTCGCTGTGACCGCCTAATATCAGGTCACATTGTGCTCGCGCAAATGCAACCGAACTGTGCAAGTCCTCCTCTTGATCATAGGCGTCGTTCACCTCGATCAAAGCCGGTGACCCAGATCCCCTTGTGCCTCAGTGGGTCGTCGCGTATTTTGTCTGGGTGATCCTATGCATCTGCTGGACTATATGAACGCCGTAAGCTATCATGCTTCCGCCAAACGATTGAGAGAAAGGAAAATGTGTAAAAATATGGTTGTAGGAGTATAGTCACATGTTCCCTATCTGATATGGTTTTGAGTCATGATCCTTGCGATCCCAGTCTAGGGTGCCGAGAAGGCCCGACCGCGAACAGTTGCGGTTGGTGCCTCCATAGTTTTGGCTCAATTCATTCGCTGGACACCTTGTCTTCGCTTCCAGACGAAAACTGCACGCGCAGGGTGCACGGTTAGGTGAACGCTCAATGGGCATGCGAATCACGTGCCCCAGCCAGAGTAGTGAGATTATGCTGCTCAGCGGCCGGCACATCCTGTCTGATGTGGAAATTCTTCGACCAACATCTTAATGTGATATTCGCATCGCACATCAGCAATGCTCCGAGAGCAGCGGTGATCAAAAACAGACAGCCTCTGAACGTCTTTTGGACGAATTGGCCAACTGTCGAAAACGTAGAGCAAAGCCGCTCTTACTACGGCATGGTAGACTTGGCCCTTCAGAGAGAGACTCATGTCGCGTCGACACCAGAGATGGTGTAAATCAGCAATAATAACGTGCGCCACAGAGACACGCAAGAGACTTCATCCGTTAAGCGGTTGGTGCTGATGCAGCTTCCGAGATAACTTGTCTACTACTTCCGGATAACGTCCTGAAAGGGCAAAAGTAGGAGCAGTACCTAGCCAGTCTTGTAGAAAGACAGTACATTTCTATGGGGCGAATTATTCCAATGCACCAAATCCGGTCGTATACTGAGGAAGAATTAATTGAAAACAATGGTTGGCGTGAAGCGCCGTATTTTGTGTCTATTCTGCGCTTGACGTAGGGGTATTATTCAGCAGTTGAAAGTGTATCAAATGCTGGTACCAAACACGAGCTTGACTTAAATCGTGGAGATAGTAGTGGTTTTTCCGACGAAGATTAATGTATTGTACACGCCATCAGACAGATGGCGATCATGGGACGAGGGCCAAGTGCAGGGCTGTAAGAGAAAGTCTCCCTTAAAGAGCCAGAAGGTGAGTATAACTGCAATCTCAAAATATGTTGGACGAGAGCTGATGGGAGAGGAAAACTTGCCATTTGTAAAACGAGAGTTGGATTGTATGCTCAAGTCCGAATAAGCAAGGAGGATGAAATGAAGGGACTGTTTGATTCGATTACTCAGGTACAGAGTGAAAACGAAATAGGTTCGAAAATGAACAAGGAAAAGGAAAGGAAGTCGAGAGGCACAAGAGTGAAAACAGAGAGGTTACTCGAAAGGGTTTCGAACACTAAATTAATATCGGCCGTGTTCAGATCCGATCTCTCATGTGCCACTGGTTCTGAGGCAGCTGATCATGTGTCTCGAATTCCATAGCAGGGTTTGCAGGTGGGACACGGATATCAGTCAGCGTCGCCCACAGGTAGTAAATGACAAGTGAGTTGTAGCAGAAAAAGTGGCAGAAGCTAGGCAATCTTTTCTCAGAGATCCAATAGAAAAAGTGTTTCGAAGTACCGCGGAAAGCGCATCATTTCAACCCATTGCTTGGAATATTTTAGCATATGATATCAGCAGGTCGATGAAGATGGTCAATTGATGTCTTAACTGCACGCAAGCTCCTTTACTAAGGAATGACGATGCTTTGTAATGAGAGCGACTAGTCTCTTGTTGATATGCTGTTGATATGCGGAAACATCTTCAGGGGCATCTGAGTCATGAAAACAGCGTGGCGCCCGACTACTGCAAGCGTTTGGTACGGAACGAAAAATACCGCTCAAGCGAAACAATGTGAAAGTGGGAAGAACCAAACACAATAAGAGCTTTTAAAAATAAGGATAACTCACGTGAAACATCTTCGGCTGGAACTTCCAAACGTGAGGCCAAAGCGCGGTCTAGCTGGAAGGCTTGTGAGGTAGCAAGCTCGTACAGTCGCTTGTATTTGTCAAGGTGGTGGTGTAGCACCTCTGGTATAAAAGAGGTCAAAATAGTGCACAGGTAAAGAGAGCAGACAGCAGGATCATAACGAAAGGAAAGCTGACTCTAAACAGATGATGATCGAAAGTTAAGTTAACAATTAGTCAGTCCCACGATGTCCTGCTGCTCTACCCAATTTTACGTCGATGGCATTCGATCTACACTTCACAACTTAGAATCATTAGATTAGACCCACTGAGATATTCTCAGTGATTTTAATATTTCGGATATATTACATCATCAGTATCGTTAATAGCAGCAAAGTAGCCATTTTGGATTATGTAACGAGTCTGGACCTCAACGTGATGTGAAGGTTTGCGTACCTCCTCGATCCATTGCGCTATACTGGGTGGTGCCTCAGAGCCTCCTGAAAACTACTCTTACCAGGTTGGTAGATGGTTAGAGGTCAGGCAAACTCGCTCCGTTTATCCGCCAGATTGGCGATTGTAAAGGGGATGGCGTCTAGTTCTGTAAAAGATAATCATCGCCATCTCCCCGGTGCACTGAAGAAAGGTTTTTGAGCCAGAGGCTTTGGTTGAGGACCCTGATCGTTTTCCTACCTAGACCCGGGCACCCTGGCAGTATCGCGGTCAGTGTACAACCATGACTATCTCATCAAACTTTAACCACATCCTGCATCAGACGTTGCGCAGTTTTGTAAAGTTTGTTTTATCCGTTGCATACCACAAGGCAAATAAGCGAAAACATGCTACTAACTCTTTAAATCCCTCCCGACTCCCATCACTAACCTTCCCCCCACAATTCCGACAGCAGCCACAATGCTAGTGAAGTTTTACCGTCTGCAGCAATCTTCACACAGCATCCAATGGACGCTTATGGGCAGCAGCCACTTAGAAGGTTACATCATATTGGTTCTCTGGCGCAATTTAAGGTTCACACGCTAAGACAAATAGGTCAACAGGTTGCGCTCGCACGAACGTTAAACACTGAGTACTGACGCGTTGCGCTCCAAATTAGGATCAATGATCCTCACGTGGTTGTTGACCTAACTGTACCTGACATGCCCCCCCCCCCGCTGTACATTATGGAACCACGGCGACTAACAACCACTGCTAGGGCCCATGAAGGATGACTGTCTGTAATCACGAATGTAGACCAAATCACCAACTGAAAATGTTGACCCTGATGTGTGTACCGGGGTTGGTAACGATTTTTCAGACAGGAGCATCGCAACAAAAATGGTGAGTTTTTTGTCCCACAAGACATTCAGCAGGGGAGGATCTATCTGGTGTTACCGGATTTGGTGTGTCTATGTAAAGCATAATGAAATTCTGGATGTTTTCAACCGTAGTTCCCTACCCTCGCGTTTTTAAAAGAGCGAATATGAACATGTTCACAAACCGTTGACTTGACCGCTTGAATGAGGATACTGTGGAGTACGAATGTGGTTAATAATAATCCCATGGCAGAAGTCTAAAAAAGTGGGGATGTAAACTGAGTTCACTTTTCTGGAACCAGGGTATCCGGAAACCTGCGTTGGCTGAAAATTCTGCGCAGAGATGAGGTGGTAGACGATGTTGTCGCTTGTGACAGTAGGATTGCCTCGGGCTACTTGAACAGTGCGGCAATTACGATTAGACACATAAAATGACGTTGATCGGTCCAGCTAAATCGACATGTAGGCGCGACCGTGGCTTATCGAGTAGAGTCCATGCTTGTGGGGCTAAACGGAGAAAATTTTTGGCGACCTGTCGGCAAGGAGAACATAGTTCGAACAACGTTTCTCTTTGTCGATACCTTGTCAGTAGACGCAGCCACGGAGAATAGTCTACATCCGTACTGCACCAGGATGACCAGTGAAACTGACGCAAGATGATCGGTCAAAACGAAGAAGGGATGACAATACGATCGGCAAATATTAGACAGGAACCGATCGTAGATAGGCTGTCGCAAGCTTCCAGTAGGTGCTGTCGTGGGCGTCGGTTGCGGAGGCAATTAACTGCTTCCTGGAGGACAAGATCAGTGTTCGTTTCTCTTATGATGTCACGAAGAGTGACCGGAACTGCACGAACAGCCGAAGCCAGGTTCGAACGAGCAACCGATTCGTGGGAAATTGATGCGATGATAGTTTCTTCCTGCTCCTGTTGATTTGCACTGAGAAAACGGTAGGGGGCGTCTACATGCCCGAACTATTGCGTCCGTCAAGACCAAATTCCAATCATAGCTCAATAGAAAGGCTATCCAGCGCTACAATCTACTTGCAAAATACGTCGGGATGGCCTTTTAGAACCGAACATAGCAAGTAAAGATTCGTCATCGATCATTAAGCGGAAGCGGCGACCGTAGACAATCTTGCGAAACATCCTCACGGTGAACACTACTGCCAAAGCTTTTACCCATTTTGGCATAATGCTTCTCGGCTGCCGTAAGTGTACGAGCAGCATGCACAGATACTTTTTCCGATCCGTCTGGAAATATGTGGATGACTGCACTGGCGCCTTGGCTGGGAGCGTTTGTAGCGACTACGATAGGTAGCTTAGGATCGAAATGTGTTAGGAAAAGATCGGAACCAAGCATCGTTTTCAGATTGCTGGATGCACCTTCACAATCTGGTGACCATGATCACTGTCTTTTTGGGTAAATTATTCAGTGGTGCACTGACATCATGTAGGATCGGTAAAATGCACCGTAGTCACTAGCCCGAGGAATGACCGTAGAGGTGACACATCCTGCGGATCAGGCAGACACTGGATTACACGCACATTTTCCGGGTCGAGACGGTGACCACTCTGATCGATGGTGAAACTGAGAAACATGATTTCTGATAGGAAAAACTGACACTTGTTTGTTCGTAGCGAAAAGCCGTATTCCTCAGCAATATGTGGAAGCTCAGATATCCTTCCATGTGGCTTTTCACTGGTATGAGCCATTATAATATCGTCCAGATAGGCTACAGCGTCGTCTACGCCAGAGATCACAGGATTCATTATCCGTTGAAAAATAACGGGAGCTGACTTGTACAAATCGTAGGCGATTATACTGAAACAAACGGCAGTGCGTATTGATGGTTACCAGTCGGCGAGATTACGGGGATGCTTCGACTTGCAAGTAGGCATCCGCCAAATGCAACTTGGCGAGATTGGGGGCATCCAGAGAGTGAGTGGGAACGAGGAAGCGGTCAATATTTTAGCCTATGGCCGTATCGCGTGTCGGACTAATAAGGTGCCGGATTTGAGTAGTGATACTCTGCAGCGTCATCTGAGGGACTTATACAACTTTGATTAAGAGTTGCGTACATATGTCGGCATCATTTATTGCCTGAAGATCACATATGAACACGAAGCATTTGAACCGATCGACCGTGAGAGCGTAGATTGAATCGTTCACATTCATGATTAATCAAACCGGCATAAGTGGCAAAATTATCCATGTCACATTTCACAAGATGAAGACATTGGTAAAGATTAGGAAAAAGAGAAGATTGCTTCCTGAACATTTGTGTGTGTTTGCACTGTCTCGTCGAATGACCGTTCGTGTGGGTTCTGTGGTAAGATAAAGTTGGAATATTTACCTAAATCGGTGGAACAGAGGTTGCGGAGCAGAAGGCAAAGTTTTCATACGTCGTCCCGACTAGCAAACTCAATGCGGAATAAGTCTTCGTGTCATCTGAACCAGGAATCAAATGTTACGTTGGTCGCAGGATCGAACAAAAATTCGATGATGCTGTCGGCAGCATGAGCACTGGACGAAACGATGGAGGATGTGCTAGGCTCTCATATTAGGAGAAGACAGAGAAGCGTTCGGAAATCAACTCCATCAGTCGCATCTGTTGCTGCAGAATCAGATTGATATCCGCACCGTGGAAACTCACTAGTAAAGAGACATCCGTCTCCAAGGGCCACTAGCGTAACTCACTGCTGACACACGCAGGCATGGCAAACGCAGAAAAGGAACACAAATTCAGGCCCATTCGAAAGCTTCAACACCAACAAGGCGGAAGACAAGATATTCGAAAGAGTTCTATTAAGCTGATAACTCAGGCATTTACTAAAGAAAACACGTAGGCATTAGTAGCCCCACTAGCGACCTATTGTGACTGGCCAATCAGCGTCCTGGTCTGAAACGGGAACGAATTTCTATGCGCCATTTAAAAATCAAAATAACGGGAAATAAAAAAGCTACATTTCTTTTGGTTCCATGAAAACGGGCGATTTCTCAAGAAGGCCCAAAAAGAGTGGCACATTCAACCGCTGTCTATGATCAAGCTGCTAAATCGCATGGAAACCAGTGCGTGTCGGTAACTGTTGCGATTAACGTAGTGCATGAAGATTTCATAATCCAGAAGATTCTGATTGATTGGATAACAAACCCTACACTAAGACCTTATTGCAGCTAATAATAAGACAATCGCAGTGCGCATTCTACGAATAGCACACGTTGCTTTCCAAGGGAATAGCGAGTTAGTACGGGCAAGAAAGTGAGTGCTTAAAAAGTATCGTATATAGGAAGGAGGTGAACCACAATTACTCGCGCATAAATGCAACGGCGATCCGTCGATGTACTGTGAGGAAGTAAGCGTAATGCAATACTTAGATGGAAGCAGGCTACAAGCAAATGAAAAGGTAACGGAACCGCTAGAATTAATGTGTATCATGGAAAATTCAGAATTCTACTCATCAACGTAGTAACTATGCAGCGTGAGAGCAGGTATCATGGATGCAACAACCCTGCCCCCGGCCGAGGGTTCACGTTCCGATCACTGAAGAAGTATGTGGCTCGAAAAACTCATGTAATCTGCCTTGGGGCCATCCTTCTGAGGAATATCTGAAAGTATCCGCACCGCGCGCGTTGATTTTTGAAGCCAACACGACGAAAGTAGGATGACCTTGCCACATCAAGAAAAAAAACTTCACTAGAATGTGGCTACGTCGATCGAAACGCGCAGATTTGGAGGGAAATGTAGATAGACAACCATCTTCACTATCCCAACCATTACCTATCCGATAACCTTGACATTCCTTACTGAATGCCTGCGAAAGGAATCGCGCTGATCGTGAAAGCGGCCGCAGAAGCGGGACTACTTCAGATTCAAAAGACTTACATTAAAGAAAAGATCGTTCAAATCAGACAGGCTGTTGTGTCAGCAAATGGAGTGCGTTCAATCGCTATTAAGAATGATCGCACAACAACAGGAAGGTACAAAAAAGGGTTTCAAAAACAATTGCAAAATAGTGCAAAGCCGGTTCCAACCTCAGCTCAACCTCTTGAAAACACAAGCAATCTTCATGTGCACAACAATGTCACCACATCTTCTCCCTTTAAGCAAAAACTGTATTAGCCAAATAAAACAGGTTGTGGTAACAGATATCGACAGTATCAAACATGAAGCTACCGTCGAACCAATTCCCGGAAACAGCTCGATCAGGTGCAGTCCGAGTTATGTAGAGCACACAGGTCCATCACATGGCTCACTTATGCCAACGTATAAATGTTCAACTGGACCAATGCCAAACTACAACTGCGAAACATCTCGATCCAATAGTTAGGACAGGAACACGATTCTAGACACTAAAAACAGACTAAACAACTTCACCAAGAATGCGAAATAAGCTGGATGCACGTAACACAACGGACTTCCGAGTCCACGTCCTATCTAACTGAACCCTATAAACCAATCGTGGTAGAAAATTGGGAACGGGCCGCTTGTTTTCCGTCGTCCATTGTCTTACATTGCCAGAACAGTGGATCGGCTGGTATCGCGACAAAATCTTTGAACAGAACGGTCTATGCTGAGTCGCATCTCAGCTTATGGAACTGCAAACCCACACCACAATCTACGCTATCATCCAAACCCCGTATACAGAATGCATCACCCTTTTCTGTCGTGACCAATGCACTCCTACATGCCACTGAGTTTCTGGAGGACATTGCGGCTAAGCCGCTTTCTTCAACAATGAATGTCTTTACTACCCGAACAATACAACGTATCGCGTCTGCGTTTCTGCACATTATGTCTGCATTGATTTCGGACATGAAAAGGTACTTTGTAGCCCAACGTCAAAATTCTACTGCTATTCTATCCACAGCGCTCGAACACAATGATTCACTGCTTAAGTGTAAGATGCGTCGGAGGACTGTTCCTTCAAAATGCAGCCTTAGTCAACATGGTTGCTTCACTCATCCCGTACAGGACAACGAGGATTGTTTAGATCGACATCCACTTTTTTCATGCCGTTGGTCTACGTTAGAAGAATAATTCACGGTTCGACATTGCGGATCTGTGTGTCGCCACTGTCCGAAGGAGAGTCAGTGGGTATGACACATATATTCGCGGAGCCTCCTCTCTAAAGCTTATACACACACCAAGACCCAATTGGTGTGTTGTTTCGTCCGGTTTATAGAATTCTTTTCGGATAGGTAGTTGACTTATCTGGATTGTCGGCTGACTGCGACGAACAAAAAATAGAATTCTTTATTTCGGAATAGTCGCCGTATTCTGCCGGGACATTGTCCTACCTTGGCAAGATGTCGCAAGTCTTGACCTTATGTTATGCACACAAATTGTCAAAAATGTTGTTATTGCAGGTAATGTGGAAGCAAGAGCCGCTTTCTTAAACCTGGAGTATTTGTGGTGTTCGAAGGTTTCCTTCGATATGAAATACCGCATGTATATAAGGACACAGTGGAGATCGTCTCACACTAATGAGGTGAAACTTGACACTTGTAGACTGAGGATCGGACCCGCTTCGTATCCTTCGTTCATCGCCACACTGAGCATTGTTTGCGTCGGGTGGCAGCAGAGTGTCCGCAATGATGTGCATGGGTAAGTACCCCATGATTTTTGGGTGTGACAAATAACATTAAATAAACTGCCCTTATTCGGGAAGATGCTGTGCATGGCTGCTTGCCATCTAGCTGGGGATTTGTCGTTAGCGGGTGTGGGATGGCCCAAAACTCGATGTACAGAGAAAGTAAACTTCGAAGCCGGTAATGAGGCCAATGTCGACTAAACTTTAGGGTTGGTCTCGTCTTCTACACTGCAGCACACGCCCCCTACTCTATGCACGGCTCGTGACTTAAAAGGACATAGCCCGCAGTCGGCACCAGCGGCATAAGCGATATCGTTTCCATGTCGGATTGCTTGATCAAAGTGTGGGGTACTGACTGACCATGACGCCGGGCATTGAAAGCCGTGAGGAGACTGTATCACTGATGTCGGACTATTTCCGCACGATAACCAGTTGCTTGTGAGCGTGTGCCGTTGACAAGGGGTAGATGCCGTGACCCTGGATGTGTGTTAGGGCGCATAGGTTCAACACCAAGATCCCCCTCGATCCGCGTTGGATTATTGCAGTAGCGGGACAATGACTAAAATGGCTACTATTATGCTCTTGATGATGTCTGTGAAAATCTACAGGTCAAACGAATGTTTTCGCTTCTGATTTGATTGCACGCATTTCAAGTAAGGAAGCACTTCATAGGTGCTTAGTACAGAATGTTTTACTATGGATTTTCATACAGATCATTTAACAATGGCGCAGTGGGACGGAACAATCGCGGAGAAAAGTTGGTCGCATAGGCAATTCTGATTTATGAAGTTTAGGAATCTAGTATGTTTCCACAGAAGGAGTACCCATGAATTCCAACAACCTATGTTCGTGTTCGGAGATTAGGCCGCAGGATTGGTGGTTCACGACATAATTACTTGTCAACCATGCGGACAGTGTCAGAAGCAATAGCCGGCTTGAATTTGTGCTGTCGGATAGTATAGTTTGGATCTTGCGTAAATCGTATGATCAGTGTGGGATGATTACTTCGAAGCATAAATCAGAATTCAACAAAATAACGTCCCTGTTGTGTACCAGCTCACGAAGGAGCTTTAAATGTTCCGTAATGAAATACGTTTAGCGCTGTAATGAGGGTATCGAGGGTCCATGTTTAACATGAGTCAGTACATGTTCCGCCATGACACTCCTGTGAGTTAACTGTTTTTGAACAGGAAATGTGAGATTGGTTAAAGGCCAGCCATTTTCATTTCATTTCAGCTAACCATTTGCTATCCTTTCAAACGCTATCACCTGATCTGATTATCAAACTTCTTGATCCACCTGTGAACCTATGCCAGTATGCAAGTCATCATCAAAAAGAGCATATTTGGGACGCATTTTGAAAAGTAGGTATGAAACTCACATCTGCGTTTTATGTGAAACTGCACGTGGGAACCTGATGTTGCAGACTGCAACGTCTTTTTGAAAACGGAGGTCAAACGTTCATGAATTCGACTTGACCGAAAAGCGGTATCATACAATGGTAAATAATGCAATGCTGTTTCCTTAAATTGAGAAATCCTATCATATAAACAAGTTTCCAAGTAACTTAAAACCAGTGATTCAAGAGCGTATTTCGTTCTTGAGTAACGGCTACAAGTAACAAACAGATCCAGAAATTTCAAGCAGTAGTGTTCTAACACCAGTCTGCATCTGAGATTAACTAGGCGGTGGAGCATTTTCCACAAGAATCAGGAAATCTCAGCTAGATAAACTCGAAACATGAGCAAGAAATTTAAAATACGCAAGATGCGAGATAACACAAATGCCGCGAAATGGATGGCTGTCTCAATGAGAAGGGTGCACAGTGCAGCAGAGATACGGTTGCACATATCGACAGGACCCTTGCCAATGTGGTCAGTTAGGACACCGACGAAGAGACTGTGTATGTCCCATTGTTTATGCAGATTTAGCTGTAGCTGAGGGGAAAGAGGTCTTGGGTGTACTAATCTAAGGTAAAGGATCCGAATCGATGATCAGCTCCTCAAGTGGTCACGAAGCCAAATGGGATCTGTGACAACGGAATCCGGCGAACTGAGGAACTCAGTTGTCTGGACAATCAGAAGGCACTTGTTGAGCTCTGGTCACTGACCTAATGTTCATGAGACATCCACCGTCCTGGTGCGCAATCAGAGGCCCCACCTCCTCGGTCTGTTGAAAGACCGATCAAAAGCGACCGTCACTCTGAGTACAGTAACAACTGGCTGTAGCGCAGAGTCGACTATGATAACACGAGGCACACTGGCTGGTCAGTCACAAGTAGGCACTAATAGATCACATCCGTCGTCTTTTCTGCACTCGCTGTTAGTTGAAGTTTTGTGAGCAATGAGTATGCACAACATATCTCAGTCGTATGACAATTTCGTTATCTAAGTTTCTTACTCAGAATCACCAAGGGGATATTATGCTTCAAATATCACAAACGATGACTTTACTTTCATGTATTGTTTTTCTCCTCTTCACGATATACAGGAGCGTAACTCGTTACGACTATGAGAAAATGGTTACTATTTACACACGATGCGTTTCTCCAAGAAATATTTCGTTAGTTTTGGATCAAATGGGAGCGGACTATCTCGCTAGTAGCTAAATTATGAAGGAAATCTGTACACAACGATCAAGCCAGACTCAAAGTAACATGTAAAGTTGTAGAAAAATAGAACATTTAGTTACTTGATAGGGCGTAACTAAGAGAAAGAAACCAGAGCATTTCAGATAAGAAACACAGATCAAAAACATGCTTTCGGATAACCGAGTTTTTCGCCGGTTCCGTCTTGCCTTGGTGAGGCTGGTGGCCACATTCTTCTAAACGGAATGCCGGCCAGCGTCAGATGAATTTTGATCGTTTTCGATTCACCCATGATGTTACAGCTTGAATGTCTCTGTATGCAACCTAGCTATCTCAATAATTATATGTAAACGGCTGACGAGAATACGCGAAACAGCTCAGTTCAGATTATCCATTTATGGAGGGAAAGCCCTGTATGAAACTCAGTAGCTCATGATTACTTAGACTGCTTTTAACACGCAAATAAAGCATACAAGAGGAGAAACCTACACAGCGAGAGAAAGAGCTCACCTTCCTTGGATTTTCTGCCATCGCAGATGCTAGAAAACAACATGAAAAAGAAGAAACCTCGAGATGGCTAATAGTAAAAGAGGATCAAAAAACTATGCATAATGCACTTAAGAACAGATTGCAAAGTTGTGAAACCGACTGAATTGAAGAAGAGTAGCGACGTGGTGGCGCTGTGAGTCGATTGATGGAGACAACAAAGTGAACTGTGCAAGAACGATAGATGAGAAGAGCAAAGTCAAATTGATGAGGAAAAGTAAGGAGTCAAGGACAGTGGTAGTATGAAACATTGCACAAGAACTAGGCCGATGAAAGGTCAAAACTGTAAGTTGCGGCACTCACGAAAGTCAGTGGGAGCTTACACACCCAACGACATAAAGCCCATGGTTTTGGGCAATGATTAAACAGGCATATTTGCGCGCTTTTCTATCTCTAAGTGACCGCCGGATGTACTTTGAAATTATCTCGGATGCAAAAATACACAACGCGTCCACGTCCATCCAGGAAGTGACATGCAGTGGAGCAGACATGAAACTGCAGCTAATGAACTTTCGATGGACTGCGTTTCCATCGTTTGCGAAAGAGACGAATGAGTACCGTTTGCTTCAGCTCCAAAGTGCCACTTACGCGTGGGTACTCGCACCAAAACAGCACGATGGTTAGAAGTAAGGGACAGGAAGCAACAACGCTGGTAGCGCCTTCCGTACTCAACCAACACCTTTATTTTAGGCAGAGCAGTACGGCCTGAATAGTCAAGATTAGCTAGAAAAAAGTTCTTCGATAATCACCGGGCAATAACTAACTTTTAGCTTCAAGGTTGCACTCATTGCATAGGGCCGAAAATCTCGGTTGCTCAACACTACCTTGTTGTGAAGAGTTTCAGGGTCCGGTGCAGTGAATAAACAAATTGGATGCTTTAACTATCGCTTTGACCTATTCGTTACGCAGGACGCAGTATTCTGCATAGTGCATAAAACGAAAATATTCCCGAATGTATGACGTTCAGTAAAGCAAACCATGGTCTGTTGTCCATTCGGCACCTTTGACAATGCAATAAATATCCAGACGGTATGAAGGAGTGCGATCGTTAGGTTGTTCGCGTTAAGGATCTCACGGAAACGTCTGAACTAATCAACCACCCGTACACGGCTTGGAAATCTCATACGAATCTTAACAAGCAACTGCTTTATGCTATTCAAGCCTTTGTGTTTCTTCGCCGAATAGGAGACAATGTGGGCAAAAGTGCATTCAAATGAAGTCAACAATCGAGAGAGCGGTGAGTACGAATCAATCTCAAGACATTTTCCGGGAATAGAATCCAGATAGGCTGGATGTGTTCCAGTGTTAACAGATAAGCCGCGATGAACGCCGCTGATAGTGCTCTTCCCAGTACCGCAGCTATTGACTATAACAAATAATAGCCATTAAGACCAGGCAGAAGCACCTTGTCTACGGATCACCGTTATTCACAACGACGTGCATAAAACTGTCGCTAAACAGACAATTGCGGCACAGTAGTTGAGGTGTTCCCCACCTCTAGCTAACGTGTATGATGATAATGAAACAGACAGAAGGTTCAGTCCTTATTTTTGGAAGGCTCATTGAATCTGGTTCAACAACAACAACAACAACAACAACAGCAACAACAACAACAACAACAACAACAACAACAACAACGACGACGACAACAACAACAACAACAGTGAAAACAACATTATCATCTTCAATAGCAAGAAGAAGAATAATGATATCAACAACCACTGCTACTTTCAACTACACTGTTATTAGACCTAACAGTCCGTGTCATGGTCGGCCCTTATAAAGCTGGGCTACCAAGTTCCTTCAAGAAACACAAATGAATAATAATGCAGCGCAACGGCTGTCTAGCGTGGATTTGTCCAGTGCCATATTCGGGATCAAAGGGGATTAGCATAGTATGGAGGGAGACAATAAAAAAAACGAAAAACAACCAATTTAGTTGGCTTACAGGCGCAGATCGGCCTCCAATTCCGCACGTAAGTTAGGTTTGGACATTTCAAAACCCATGGAGTCGTAACCTGAGGAAGAATGCAAGGTGTTTCAAGATAGAAGAGGAGAACGAAGGCGGCTGGTTAATGCAATTTTGGCTAAAATGAGAGTTACAGCTGGCTTACCTTCAACCAAACCCATCCCTAACTGTCCCGGAACAAGAAATTTGTTCTGTTCTAAACCGACATACAAGCGTTGTTTTATGGTTTCGATGTGGTCCGCATGCGTTGCGTCTGTACCAATCCCGTGCCGATCCATTAGTGAGATTAGATCAGCTTCCGTCAATAAGGGGGGTGGTGTCGTGTGGCCAGTGAGCATCTGAACAGAGTAAGGGTAACAAACAGGGTCAGAATGATTAGGCTGTAAGCAATGGGACATTTGTAGGATTAAGCGATTTCCCCTGACCCTAGGTCAGTGGAAAACGTAATAAATGGAAAATAAGATACATAAGTGGGGCGAGCGACTAAGTGTCGTGGTTAGAACATCACATACAAAAAGGACACGAGCAGAACAGAAAGGCGAAACCAGAAAATAAAGTCCGAGCAGCCACAAGAACCAAAGTTTGGAAGAAGGAAGTAAAAAAAGCTGCAAAATGCTCAGGCTCCTGGTCAAACACTCATCGTTTTTCCCCCAAGTGAATGCGGATTTGCTTCATGCATCCACAAAAAGAGTTCAGATGACTTGTTGCTGTACGACAAAGAAACGTACTAAAACAGGTGAAAATGCATATCTAAAAGGTTATGGGTTGGCAACCTGTAAGTGTTAACTGGGCGCCCAGTGGTAATAAATAGTTTATTCTTGAATTTATGGAAAGCAGACGTTTAAATAACGAAGCGCAAAAGCCGCACAGTGATGAGAACTTAAGTCTTACTTCCGAATAAATAATCAAAAGGTTGATATCTCCAGAGCTAAGTAGCACAGGGGAATTTCTTGTCATTAGGCAAACATGTTTTGGTCTGACAGAGGAGTGGACACCGTGACATTGAAGCAGACTTAAAGCGTCAGACGTTGCCACGTGGATATAGCATAATTGTATCGGAAACAAAAGGCGAGAAAATAATGGAATGAAATTGCTGATACTGAGAATGAGAGAGACCGATGAGAAGGGAAGAGGATTCTGATAACCGTGATACAGTACAACCCGCTTGGTTGCCCAGCTCTTCAAAATACAAATTCCTTTCTTATAAATAGGTTAAATTTTCGCCGTCTAAATGCCCATTACCGTGGTCGTCCCACCGTTTAGTTGTCCAGCTCCGTGGGCTGTGCAATTGACGCTTTGTGAATTTTATGCCCTTGCTCTGACTATCTTTTATTACGATTGCTCCACAGGTAGCCAGCCCGATCGAGTCAAGATCAACAATGATGTCGGCGGCGTTAATGACAGACAGCTGTGGGTAAACCCTAATGCCCTATAGAAAATTCGAGAACTGATCAAAATCGGGTAAATTTTCCGTTCAAATTTGTCACTACTCTATTTGGATACATACAAGAGCTTGAGGTCAGATGAACTAAGACCCTTGATGGTTGGAACTGGAATGGAACGCCTAACTAAATCCGGATCGTTGTCATCTTTACGCAGCATTAGTAGCTAAGCTTTCGAGCCAGATGTATCGGTTGAGGATGCCGTTCGTCCTTCTTTTACGCTTAAGCGTACTGACAAGATTCCATACTATGTACAAACATGACAATCTAATCAAAATCTAACCACCACTCAGAGCAGCCATCGCACACGTTCGGAACGGTCATTTTATCTGCTATTACGATAAGCTGTATAAGCGAGAACAAATACATGTTAACATCACTATGCACTTGCAACCTGTTGTTTTAAACGTTTCTGGACCACCACCACTAGTCTTCGTTCGTTAGCCTAAAGTTCATTCAGCCGCATCTGCAGTATTATTGGTTCTGAATTAACATCCGGCAACGAGTGAAGTCATATCACCATCAGTCACTTATTAGACCACACAAATCGTTCTTCACAGTGGCGTCCAGCGTTCGTGTTCGGATACAGATCACCTGGCCATAGTTGCACGCACATCAGATACAGCTGATGATATGTGATGAATATTTAGTGACCTTCGCATGGTGGCTGAACTAATTGTGAAGTAAGTTTGTCTACGAAATAAGCAAATGTTGGAATTAATGGCAAGCTAGTTAGATCCCGCCCAAAACTGCTTTTCCTTGCAAAATGAGCGCACTCAGAGGATCCGGCACGAACAACAACACTAGTCGCTTTCCAAAATGCTACTTATTGATTATTCTATAAATCGTCGCAGTATTGATCAATATTGTGTTCAAAGCTTCTGAAAAAATACTAAGAAAACTTGTTGTACAAACGATCGTTCATCGAATGAGAACGTACCCCGCCTACTCGGAAATATACCCAGTCATATATTTATTGTTCTATTTATTTATATAAGCAGATTAGTTCTATAGGAAAATTAAGGATGATGTCTGAGCTGCTGTAGCCTGCGCGGGTGCTACGTACGCCTGTTCAAGGCTTACCGAAGAAGGCCTCGTTTTGAATGCATTCAGATGCAAAACCAGAAGAATTACAGGGTATTGCTCGCAGCGGCAAAAGTGAAGCGTTGGTGGTTGTTTCGTAATTGGAAAATCTATTTAGAGTGGGTCGAATATTGATTTATACGAGTTAGGATTGAGCAAATCGCGGGCTAGTGAAAACAGCAAGGTAGCCGTCTTGTAGATAGATAGCTTTTAACGTCAATGTAGTTGGCAAGACGTAGGTGTTTTGACCCTGAATGATTGCCTAAGGTGTTTAGGTGATTAGCTAACTCCTGTTTCTTCACCAGGACCATCACCGCGGTAAGACAGAGAAGCACGTATCGGTACCAACCGATGCAATCAATGCTCCAAAACCGCAGGGATGGAAAGTTTGCAAGGAACTGAAGATTCTCAGATCGAAGGGTTTACCTCAATACTCATGGAGAAGAAAACCCAATACTGTGGTTTTGTGTGCACGGTCCGTTAGTGCGGAGTGGGTGAGTGTGGACAGAAATGTCGCCGGCATGATAAGCATAACATGGGGTCACCGTAGATCCCCAAAATGGATTGCATTCGAAGAACAATGTGTGAGCATATCGGTGATGACAGTTGCCCACAATTGCATTCGCAAATGTGAAGCCATAAACGATACTAAAGCGAACTGTCTCATTGCCAGGCATCCCGGAAAATGCACAGAGCTTCAATCCGCAATCGAGTGCACGAGAGACCAACGCAAATTAACACTCAGCGCCAAGTTGAGCAAGCTCACTAAAGTAATTAAGCACAACAGCGTAGGGTGGATCAGAAAATTATCGCACCATCCACTCAGCACAATTAACAAGAACAAGTTAATTAAAGGGATGCTCCTTACGGAAATTACTTGGCTGGCATAGAACGTATCTTGAAGACAAATGGCAGTAGCTCAGTAACAAAGTAGCTAAACAATTGTTCCGGTGATATCCTGAAACAAAGTCACATAAGCGATTCCCAAAGAGCAGGAAGCATTCAGAACACTACAGACACAAGGAAAGGTCATAATCCGGCCGGCGGGCACGGGACGCATGGCAGTGGTACGGGATAAGCTGGATCACATTGAAAAAATCCAAACAACTATCGGATACTGAAGTAGGACTTGATTGTTTGAGCAAAGTCGACCAATGGGCGGTAGGCAAACCAGTGATTAACCAGTAGTTTTCGAAGCGAATTGATCACGCGTGGACGCGCCAGAAAGAGGAATCGGCGTCGGTTCGGCTGAGTCAGGAAAAGCGACGAAGCAGATTGGCTAGAACAGCCGCGAGTGAAGGAAACGTTTGCGCTAGGTGTGGGGAGTTCTGGGCTGGTCACTTGGTTATTAAATACCACAAGTGCTCGTACGGCTCTGTGTCAAAACCAATGTGACCGGCTATATTGTCACTGACCACTCACTCCTGTAAATGGGGGTGAGTATCTAACGGAGGGCGGATGAACAACTTCGCTGGCCACCAGCTTTTCTGTGGACTGCTTCCGAACACAAAGAAGGCGAATGAGCCATTTGGCTGTTAACGGTCTTCGTGAATCACCCCGCTGCCCTGAGGGTCAGGGCTTTAGACCAAATGCTCGGGGTGGGGCTCCTTAAGTCAACCCTCTTCCTCGGTCTGGTCAACCGGGAAACTCAATGCCCACACGACACATGGAACCTTGCTTCCATTCCTCTAACTCACTCTATCATTTTTGTTATTGTTACTCCTGTGTTGTGGCACTCTGCCAAGTGTTTATTGGGCAAGTGATATATATATATATATATATATATATATATAGCGCTAGGAAGAGACAAAGATCTGATGTGTGCGGGCAGAACTCAAAGCGAACAAATCAGGCGGGGCAGAAACGAGCAGAGCACCAAGACGGACCGCGGAAGAGACAAGGAATAAAAAGTATTCATGAGTAGGGGATTTTGATTTAGATAATTGAGGTTCGTCACAGCCAGCTTCCAAATCAGATAGTCTTTCACATGCCCGGAAAAAGCACTAGATTGCAGTTTCAGCCTGTTGGGCATCATCAGTAGTGTGCATCCATCGGATCCATCAGGATTCGAAACCATGACCACCAGCGGCTTGCACCGCAAGTCAGCAGCTTATGTCATTGGGCCACGAGGAACAGCTTTGAACCGTCATGGTTTACAAACCAAGTGTGATATAGCGCGTCTTATCCTCCACTGCCATGCACATTTCGAATGTTGCAGAGGACAGGGTTGGTCCCGAAAGACACGACGTCCACTAACAGTAGATTTGTACGACATAGTGTTTAGAAACTGTTAGGGCGAATATATTTTATGTATTCATGAGTAGGTGGATTTTGATTTATGGAAAGTAACGAAGATAAGATGTCAGGACCAACAACCGCCCGCCAGTTATGGAAAGTAGAAATTATACTTAATAGATTCTGATAGTTGCCCAGACTTCGATTTAACTTTCAGAGGGCTACACGACAGGCATGACTAGTTATCGTCCCAGCAATAAGGACGCCAACTTAAAACCAGTCACACGAATCAACACAATCCTGAGGAAAGTGTATGCAACAAATGAAATCACTAACCAAGAAAGCGGATGATATATAATTTGATGGGCTACAAAAAGTACGGGGGGATCCACTTCTGCCAATGGTCTTGTTACCAAGAACACTATGACAAATTAGAAACTCTGGATGAAATAAAAAGCTTTGGTCGCCGATTCTAAATGAAGTAAAAATAATGCTGAACAGTTCCAGACAAAATGCATGGTGTCAAGCTAGAGGACGATGAGATTATGCCGTCGTACGATGCATCTACTCTGTTTACATCGATCAACCACGAAGTTGCCAAGAAGGCCATGATGGAATTACTTCGGTAACAACCCAGCAAGACAAGAAACATGAAAATGTGCGGGAACTGTTTGAACTCCGCATAGCCACTTATTTCTTCTTTGATAAAGAAATAGATCAACAGCTGAATTTGACGCACATGGACGTCATTTATATTGGGACTCGCTACCTAGGTATGATGAAAGAATGGAGCGCATCACTATGTCACTAATCAACCCAAAGCATTGGATTCGATACGTTTGTCAGAATAAAATACAGTAAACACAAACGAGGAAATCACGTTCATCAGTGGATCGAAAGAAGACAATAGATTACCATTCCAGGATATATTGATTAACAAGAATACCAGACGGAACACTTCAAAACTGTGTATATCGGAAGACAAAAGACATTCGGTACGCCGTACTGACATTTCGCGCGTGGACTAAAGATAATGCGAGGGCAACAAGTATACTAAGCAAGCTCAAAGCAGCGAATCCTTCCTTTCGGCCACAGGCCGGAAGAAGACACGGCTCGAGTACTGAACTACCACAGTAAGCATAGGCAAAACCACAAAAAGAGTTGCATCCAAACCATGAAAACAGTGTTAAAAAAGAACGAAAATGCATGAAAATTAATCAGAAGCCTAAGAGAAGATAATGCCTCAGCAGCGACAAGAACAGACAAGTAAAAAGTTTCCTCACTAATAGTAAGATTAAAACGGTCAAATAGAACGGCGGTAACACGAAAACCGAGTATTTTCCTGACAGCATTGCTTTCAAGTCAGACAAACCCATGCTATCTACCAGATGAACTGCAGCGAATGTGATAAGCACTACATCGGACAAACAAGGCAACTTTCTATAAGGTTCAGAGAATAACAAAACTCTAAGAAGGTATAGCAAGTATTCAAAGATTTCTATACAAAAGGAGGAAGCAAGGTGCTATTTTGACCTGGAAAGCACAGATTTTAGCACGCAAAATAATGAGGCAAACAAAAAGTTCTTACAAACATGACACACTAGGAGCAAAGGATCATCAACGCAGTTGAGTACGCATAATGCAAGAGGACACCATACAAGCGGCTCTGGCAACATTATTAGCCGCGGAAGTAAACGGGCCATGGTCGCCATGATCCTTAAAAATGCAGGCGTGCAAGTACTTGGTGCACACCTACTCCGCTCCGCTACACACCGACGCACGGATAATGCCTCCCGGACTAGTGAAGAAACGTTTTCAGCAAAACTGCCAAGCTCCTCCAGCAAGTAATAATCTAATTGGACATAATTGTACGGCAAGGACAAGACAAAGGTAAAAGGGGATAGCATAACACTTTGATTCGATAAACAATTTGAAGAACGGAGTGACACATACGGAGGACAAATGGTTCCAGTACGGAGAAAAGGTAGGGTAGCCAAACAATATGCAGCTCATCACTGTACTCAGGCAAACTCGTATGTGTGCTGTGAAAACATGAAAATCGTCCCTAATATCGACCTCCGTCGTCTATAGTGAACGAAAGCTTCTGAAAGAAATACTGCCTGAGGAGAATTGACTCATGGCAACAGAAGTGTAACTGCCATGCTATAAACTCTAATCGTATCCACTGATTAGATTAGGTGGGTTCCAAGTGGATGGATCGGCTAGCGCATCGTGCCTTGAGTGAGGTCGCAGATTCGACTAGAACAGAGTCAAACGTGAGCAGACTCCGATTCGGTAGGAAGAGACCGTGAAATTGGACAGCAACAGGTAAATTGCCCAGCACAGTGAAACCGTCAAAGAAAGAAAGTTCGTTAGGTAGTGAACTTAGTCATCCTAACAATTGCTAACTAAAAAGCGATTTCTCCGATTTTAACTGCGCTATTCCATAACTCAATATGTAGCAATATATCATTAGAAAAAGGCAGAAATACGTCAAACGAAACAGGTGGACGGATTGACAGATGGTGAACCGATTAATGAACCATGGGCGAACGGAGGTCAAATTGACAAAGTACACTCAGGAGTAGGAGGCCCACCTCAATATTTGTTGGTACGATCCAATCAGCCAACCGGAAAGCAGGCATGTTATTCTCGGTCCAACGATCGTAAATGTACACCTCAAGATAATTGGGCTGCAAAATGACGAGGCCTTTGGCTTCAAATACTTCACTGTCTTCCGGAGTTAATAGGACTGCCGAAGTTCCGGAGAGGGCTGGCATGGCCGATTTGCCTACACAAAGCTGGACCAAAGTTTCGGATCCTTGAGCATCGGCAGATAGGCAAGCAAGGAAGTGACGCGTTATAAGCTCATATAAACGTGCCTCATCTCCCTACATAAAAGACAAAGTGGAGTATAAGTGGAACAGATCAACTTTAAATCATAGACTTAAGCAAAAATGAGGGACTACTGCAGATAGCCCAGCCCAACGATGCCCAGAAAAAGAAAGTAAGCGATATCAGCTTTAGAATAAATTCACTAGAAAGAAGCCGACAAGCCTATGCCTAGAGGAAAACACTATCAAAGTATACTTCGCAGAGAATAACTTGGGCAATAGTAGTAGCAAAAGAAGGTATAGCGAATCCCGGGGAATGTTAATCTACAGCAGACATTGAGTAAAGAATGCTTTTCAGTAATTCACCTCAGACTCAGACTACATGATGACGAATACACGCTAAATGTGCAGGGTAGGGCTGCGTACTGATAAAAAAGTTCAACTACAACGGAAACGAATCCATAAATTGGGCGGTCATTGAAGGTAGCGGAGTAAGTACATGGGCAAATCACTTCACAACCAAAGAGCAACTGGGGCAAAAAACAAAGTATCGTGCAACGGAAGTCGTAAGCCATGGTAAAAGGGCGTACAAATTTCATTTGTACGCACATCTTCGGCTTGAGGTGGGGGATATAGATAGCACCGCAAGAGATAGAAGGTGCTTCCGTAATCCGCGCGAAAAACGCGCAGGAATAAAGGAAACATGAGCTTGAAGTCGATTTCTGAGTCTGTGTGACCGCAAACAAAGAAATGGAACATGATGTAGCTATTGTAAGACCTCGCACTACTTTTGCAAAACCATCTTGGAATGGGTTCGCGAATCCTAACTCATAAGCGCCTCATAGTAGGATTCAAGTATGGGGCACCACAAACAACGATCGAGTCAACGTCCGGTAGCCAGTGTCCCAGCGCTAAAGTTACAAGGCCAATGGACACACTGCGCGCGCTGGCCAACAGGCCGAAAACGATTGGCACATTCATCCGCGATGTTATAGCTGCCTATTATTAAGCGGCTAAAGCGCATGGAAACCAGTGCATCTCGGAAACTTCACTGATGCGATTAACGTAGTGAACGACGCTTCCACAATCCATGAGATTCTGATTGGTTAGATAACAAGCCCACACTAAGATCTTATGGCGGCTAATAATAAGACAATCGCAGTGCACGTTCCACGAATAGCATACGTTGCTTTTCAAGTTAAAGTGACACTTACAAGGAATAGTGAGTTAGTACGGGCAAGAAAATGAGTGCTTAACAAGTATCGTATATGGTAAGGAGGTGAACCACAATTACTCGCGCATAAATGCAACAGTGATCCGTCGATGTACTATGTGAATGCCTTACACCAACCGCGGTAGGATTCTATGAATGGCCTGTCTGTTTTGCATCGTCCTCCGTCTTACATTGCCAGAACAGTGGAACCGCTGGTATCACGAAAAAAAATTGAACAGAACGGGCTCTGCCGATTCTCGATATAAGTTATGCAACAGCCCAGGCTACGACACGACATCCAATGAGATTTCCATTAAGGAGATCTGCTTCCAGCTACTGCAATTCATCATGACTTTGGACGACGCCCTCCACAAGCCTGTATTATCTCAGTAGTAATACTCTCCCTGGCCCCATAGACGACTGTGTTTAATGTTGACGATGTGCTCATCTCTGCCCCGGAGTGAATGACCACGGTGGGTCGTATCGAAACACTTTATGAAGATTAATGTTGGAAATTTGTGAGTAGGATAAAGTTTGCAGGAAGTAGAAGTCACGATTAAAATTCACGCACAATAATATGCCTCGACGGGGAGTCGAACCACGGTCCACGAATTTCCGGTCCGCTGCTCTACCACCTGAGCTACCGAGGGCTGACGATTAGGTGCGCAAATTTTAACACATGACTTCTGCTTGGTGAACGACGTATTGCCAATGGGCTCACAGTACCTGTCCTGATGTTGCAGATTGGCTCACTCACACGTCACTTCCCAATGGACCGAAGTACCTGTCCTTCAAATGTCCAAGGGACATGCAAAGGACTTACAAGATGTTAGACGAACCTGATGTCGGTGTTTGTGCAGATGCGATTTTCAGATATGTAAAGTCAAAAGTACCGTAAGTACCGAACGTCATCCATAATCCAGTGATTTTGGCTTCACTGTTCTGGTCACTGTGAGATATCTCAAATTCGTGGGTTTTTCACGATTCGACATCTCGGAGTTGTGTGTCTCTGCACTTTGAACAAGGTTAAGCAGCTAATGAAAACCATCAAACCATCTCTCGGGTTGGACTCAGACGGCATTCTTGCAAGTGCCAATAAATTGGGTGGATCAGATTTATCATTACTTCGGTGGAATACGTTAACAGTGTCGCTAAGAACTAAGCATTTTCCTGATGAATGACAAATCTCATTCATCATCCCACGGCATAGAATCGGTCACAAACAAAAAGTTACCAACTACTGACCGATTCATAATACTCCCACCATCGCCATTCTGTTTGAAAGATTAATCAAGAAAATCATGATGGAATTCCTCAATTATCTGAACTGGTTTAACAGATCTCAACATAGGTTCCTTGGTAGACATTCGAGCACGACCTGCAAGCTCCACTAGCTTAATTACACTTAAGAATCAGTAGACTCCGATTGTGCAATAATAATTTCACTTTTGGACTTAGAAAGAGCATATGACCGAGTACCATATAAACGGTTATTAGAAAAGGTTGAATCTTTTTGAATCAAGAATCCGCCTTTTAGTTGGTTTTCCTCCCACTTTAGTAATCGGTCTCAAGTAGTCACTTTGGGTGATCACCATTCTCCTCTACGTCCAATAAGCAGCGGCGTTATTCACTTGGTCCTTTGCTGTTTCTCCTTTACATCAATGACGCCGACATGTCCATTAAAGGTAGATAACTTTTTCCACTTGCTGAAGACATTATGATTGTCTATAAACTCCAGAGTGATGCCATTTAGAACACACCAACTTTAATTCAAGATGCTATTCACACTCTTGAGAAATGGTTCGAGACGTGCCTGATAAATTCTCGAGAGACAAATCAAGCTCAATATCAGAGGGATTAGTCAAAATTAACAACGGCAATATACCCGGGATGTTGGAATCCGGTAATCGACTGAGCTCCGCTTTTCTGAATAAGGCTTACTACCAAATAGTTCGAGCCAGACCATCCGTGGCTAAAATGCCACCAAATATATACAATTCCTGCCAAATTGGCATTAGTAAAAATCCTCACTCGTTTTACTCTCGGATACAGCAATTTTATCCACGGCAGTATGCGGAAGTTTGGTAGGAAAATAAGGGAAACTTAACAGAGGTCATTCACTAGACGTTTGTTCAACAGGGTATCTAGCCATAAACCGCCGCGAAAGCTGCAAGCCGCGTCACATCGAGCAACTCTGGCTACAACGTCTTAAACAAAACGCAACGCCCCTTCACAATATGGTGCATCAGAAAACATACTCTTGCAATATAGAGATAAGACATGATAACTATCAGATTCTTCAACAAAAAATTAAAACCACTTATACCAAGGACTAGGACAACTATGCGATGCAATATATATATATATATATATATATATATATATATATATATATATATATATATCTTTCACCGGAGGTGCAATCTGCAATGGTGCCGCGAAGTAGTATTGGTGATGAAGTATGGGAAACCACCTCCCGCTTCAGCTACCTTGGGAGTGTGATGTCGACTGACCAGCAGCTACACAGTGAGCTTCGTATCCGTATCTCAAGGGTAGCGGCGGCATTCGGGAAGCTTGAGTATCGAGTGTGGAACAACCATCAGCCTACCGTTGGCACAAAGCTGATGGTGTACAAATTCATGGTGCTGTCCGTTCTTCACTAGGGCAGCGTAACGTGGACGATGAACAGGCGGGATGTGTGACATCTCGAGCAGTTCCGGCAAAAGTGTTTGCGACGGATTCTACGCATTGGTTGGTGTGACAAAGTTGCAGATCCGGAAGTGCTGCGCCGAACTGGAATGTATGCAGTGGACTGTATATTTTGCTGAGATACCTAAAATGTCCCGGTCATGTGTTGCGTATGGATTTGACGCGGATACCGAAGCAGCTATTATATGGTCAGTTGAATGTTAGGAAGGGCAGGTGGGGAAACCGAAGTTACGTTAGCATGCATGATCAAAGTGAGCCTCTCACATTCTAAGCTTGGGAATCAAAGGCAGTTGATCGGCGTGTATAGCGCGATCGGATCACGAAGGCAGTTGCCGAGGTGCAAGAGAAAGACCTTATGTCTGCGGAGATGCGGCAGGCGCCCATGGGTTGTACCCCATCGACATCGGGCGCATGGTGCTGTAGCACATGCGGTCGCGAGTGCCAAAGCCAGACAGGCCTAGTGGGCTCTGAGCGAGGTCACTCGGGGCCAAGACCGAAGCGACGACTAGTCGCGCAGAGAACGTAGGTAGAACCGGCACAGCCTATGTAGGTACGCTGCATTTGATTTACTAACGGGTTGTTTGCATGCTGGGTCTCTTTGTTTTAGGTGGTGGTTTTGCTATATTGTCTCATTAACGTTTACGTGAACTATCTTCTCTTAACTTACACACGTCGCTTAAATTATTTGTAGCTTACTTTGATAATAAATTCGCGTTTGCGGCATTTTCTTAAAATATATCTTTTGACGTCTTGAACCTACGGCGGATTTGTTGGCAACCAATTTATTTCATACGCTCATTTATTGAAAAGTTATGTCGGCATGGCTGTATGCATCATTCGATACATTTTATTTAAGTTTATCGTTTCAAGTAATTGTTATTTGACATCCCAGGTGTGGCTGCGCTTCATGTACACGTTGACAAGGTGCCTACCTGTCTATTACCCACTACCTCGTCCATACTGACGAACAGGAGACAGTTGGTCGTTGCTGGAGGGGACGGGGTGCACGGTTCTTGTGGTCGTGCTAGGCTCAAAGAGCGGTTCCATGCACTCAGTGTGGAGCGGACTACGGTCCAGCCACCGCCTTGTGTGCGCTTGATTCCCCAAATACAGCGTCCTTGTGTTTGCCTGTGAAGGAGTGTGGGCCGGCTCCGTTGATGAAACGTTGTTCCCATCCACATGCCTCCCGGCCTTATTCCGTCGGGTTTACACAGGATAAGGGGTGTGTGCGTGGAACTGTGAGTGGTGCAGTGCAAACCATAAAAAAGGTCCCTCTGTAGGCGCAGGCGTCCTGTGGCTGGCCACAATGACAGGCAAAGCCGGAACCGGATGCGCCAACCATATATATATATATATATATATATATATATATATATATATATATATATATATATATATATATATACCATTTTCAGTTTAAATCTGGGGTTTTGTACACCACTGGAGCTTATAGAAAACACACGGGACGTTTTGCGATGCAAATTGGGCGGTTCGCGAAATACATATTACACGTTATGCTTGCCCGAAAATCATGAAATCTTTTGCAAAAGATAAGGAGTAAATGGATTGACCGAAGTTCAGAGCACATTTCGGTCACGATAATGCAACCGAACTGTGCAAGCAGTGGGCGATTGTACGAGCCTCGCTTTTGATCAGGAGTGTTAGCTCGATCAAAGTTTTTCCCTGTCCCTGTACTGACCTTGTATTTTGTGTAGGTGTGTGGGCGAACCTACGCAGCTATAACAAACGCCTTGTGTTGCATAAAGCGAGCAAAATGAGTGACGGAAGATGACAGAGTGCAGCTGCGAGGCGGCGACAGTACAAACGAAGGTAATGGGCCCAAAACAACATCCTCACCAAGCTTGTTTTCGTCGATGGGCATTGATGATATATAGTGATTTCTTGCATTCTCCTTGATATCAGCGAATTTAGCAGCTGCGTGGGTCGTCCTGTCTTCTACGGATATATATAGCGCCAAAAGTGGGTTCGCTTTGTCTGAAAGGCCGTGTTTACAAGGCCAGTGAGGACCCTCATAGTCTATGTGAATGAAACAAAGAGCCTTCGGTTTGATGATCTAATGCTCTTTCAATTCCTTGATCATAGCTGCCTGCGATGCTTTGTTGGTGTAGGATGGCAGCAGCGTGTTATGTGCGCAAGGGAGAAGTATGCAGGGGTAATCAGACTTGTTCTTTAGAATAAGAACTAGCCTTGAATAAATTGCGTTAACTTGGACCCGGTCACCGTGTACAGGGGAGAGTGGTGTTTTGTTTGCAACATGCAGAGTAACGCAAAACTCGGGGTGAGGCGAAAGTAAACTTTGACACCGACTACCAAAATGGGCGTTGCTGACGTGTCTCGCCTTCCCGACTGGAGTCCACGTGACTCGCCTTGTATTCGGCTGGAGACGTTGCAGGACATAACTCGCAGTCGGCACCATTGACGTGTCTGCAGTTGTCTGGTAGTCAAACTGCTTGTGGGTTTGACGCTGAGCGGAGTGATGGCTATGAGGCGATGGAGTGAAAACTGCAAAGAAGCTATCTCTCTGATGATACCATATCTTTGTATGATAGCCAACTGCATGTGAAGGGGTGTGTTGTTGACAAGGTGTTAGCGGCTTGACCCCGCATGTTTTAGTCTAGATCCCCTTCTTCTCCACTTATTATTCTTGGTCCCATGGGTCACTTTATTGTACGGTAGCGAAGCAGCAATTCAAATGGTTAATGTACCGCTGCTGATGATGGTGCCACGGAAGATACCAAGCAATTCAGAAGACGATAGCACCGTGACAGTACTAACTGGCATTTAGTGGGCTATCTCCAATAGATTTATTGTTAGAGGATTGAGTTTTGGTGCTGATGTTAGCGCAAGTATAAACAGCATAGTCTCTTGCAGCCAGTGGTTATCAACATGGACTTCGAAGATGCTCCCACTTCGGATGTTATGACAATGATTAAAATCCCTGCGGTTCATTGCAAAATAAATCGCGACTAAACTTAAGATGTGAATCGCAAGTCAAAACCCATCAGGGGAGTACTAAGCGTTGTGCCTAGTGTTGCTCGCGATGCCCAATGGGATAAAGATGAAGAGGTCAGCCATAAATCGATATGCCAGGGGCCCCATGAAAGGCCAAACGAACCAAACAAAGGTGAAATTAGATGCAGAGTTCCGTGTTGGGCTCGGTTTACGAGGCACGCGGTTTGTAACGAAAAACGTAAGCAAAACGGTGCGCCGAATAAAAATAAGACTTGCCTGCAGATTACATCCAAGTTTCAACGGATGAATGGGGGGATGAGCTTTGTCAGTGGATTTTCCATTTCTCGGATTGACGCCGGTCTCCAAAACTCGGCTGGCAAAAGCTTAAGAGAACCAACAAGAGTGTCTGTCGTTGAAAAACCAAGAGACAAAGGCTGCGGCAGTGCAACAGAAACGGTCATTGTACATGCCAGATGGTAAAAGGAGTGACTAATACAAGACGGCTGATGAACTGACAAGTCGATATCCACAGGTCGAAAAACGACTTATCGGCCGTGCTGAATGAAACAGATGATATGGACACAAGTTAATCACGTGCGCGTCAACTTCGAAAATGCATACCAATCGCTGTTTCATGGGGATTAAGGAAGTGGAATCTATCAAGCACTGAGTAGTGTGAGTTGCGACATTGGGAATTATAGTGACGAAGACACTGGGAATTTCGTGCTCACCGTGGGAAAGCAGAAAGTAGTGGTTCTTAAGGGACCTGACATTCAATGCATTTACGTATTATATTACCGTATCAGATTAATTTAAACTTAGAGCTTAAGTACTTCAAATGATATCGCTTGAGCCAAACGATAGCCATAACAGTTAGTACTAGGTAAGGGTAAAATGTTGGTCATCGCATTATGAAACCAATCATGATCTAACATTCCCCATACTCTTTAATTAATGCCAAACTGCCATTGCACTAAGGAGCATCTTCCGTATATGATTAGGATCATTTATCATTTTTATCCACACTGACCAAACTGCGCTCGATGGCCATCCGACAGACTGGATTCCAATGTGAAGCTCTGTGCTACTCATGCATCTGACATTGACGGATTCAGCAGCGAAATTTCTAAAGAAATCAGTTCAACAGACAGTAACTTAAAGTGCTAGATGGTCGGATAACATGCTTCCAAAACCAGCGACAAATCCCAACATTCTTTAGCAAAATACCTAACGGTTACATTAAATTCGAAAAAAATCGTGACCACAATGATTAAGTGCACTTAAATCGTAGTCAATAAGAGCGTTATCATCGGAAACGCCAATATTAATCATACAGATCAGCAGCTACTATACAACAAATACTGTTGGTGAACGCGCTGATCACACAGAAAAATCGCCTCGAGTAGTGAGGCGTTGGCACGGAAGACGAAAGGCATAAGGTTCATACTTTATCGATGGGTAGAAAAAAATCTGGTGAATAGGATCAACTAAGCTTGGAGATAAGCGATCACGAATAGATTCTGGGAACCGAAGATGTCAACTCAGCGGAAATAGTGAGCAAGTTAAAGGAAAGCCAGTGACGAATGCCACAAACTTCATTATATCATTGTAAGCCTTCGAAATGGAGAAATATGACAATGTATGCAAAAGATATCATTGAATATCATTCGGTAGAGCTCAAACATACACCATTACCAGATGATTATTGCATATCCAAAATATTACACTAGAAGGTGCAGCAATGCCTAACAGAAATGCGATACCAAAACAGAACCAATTTCAGGAAACGAACGATTGCTCTAAGTGCATCGGAAAACAGAGGAACGACAATTGCATTCGTTTAGTTATAGATAAATATGTAACGTTGCATCGAGACCGATTGAAAGAAATGCACTAGACGGAAGGCCACTGAGTATTGAAGAAAAGTTAAAGCGCGCATTTCCGTCCACTAGGGCCTGTGAGGCAATGTTCTAGACAGGTGGAAGCAACGAACTAACTGTGACACCGCAATCCAGTTAGTTTAGTGACCGAAATTCAACACCGGACAGTTATTTAAAGTCTACTACTTCACTGTCTACTAAGGAGTGCTTGCTTTCCTTTCCAAACTGAGGACGACACAAGACTCGATGGGACGAACGTTGACTTGGCAGGAGGAAATGAAGTTGCTGACTAGTAAACTGGAGGAATCGAGTGCTATGCCATCAAATTCAGAACACAGGTCTAACATATCCTTCAGTTAGGAAGAGGACAGCTAAGGAGGATGCACAAATGATCTATCCTCCTCTGCGTCGACCAACCCGTTGGGTGAAACATTTCGAAGGGCAGTTGGGCAGGCCTGTTGCTACACTTCTGAGGCTGAGCAGATGTGCGAAGTTGATGTTATAACCCAATTCGGAAGAGATACAGCATGAGCTTGACGTGCTGAAATGAAACCAGGTGAATGGACTCAATGACCGTCCTTCATCGACAAAAAATATGGAAGTGAATCATTGTTAAATAAACTTGTTACTCCATTCGACACCATTTGGGACTATGAAGATGTGTCTTCAAACTAGCGACCGACCATTGTCGTTCCCATGTATAAAAAACAAACAGACTCAGCGCGAAAGCAATCAAGACATTTCCCACAAACGTCTCACGACTGTTTTTCTTCGAAGAGTTACTGGTCCTCGTGAGAGCCTAGTCAACGAAAACCAGGTTGGCTTCCGCCCTGGTCGTAGTTGCAATGGCCAATTGTTTACTCATTGTCAAGTGCTAGAGCAAATACACTCACAGGAAACCGGCTATTTTTGTTTACCTTGACCTGGAAGCCACCTTCGATTCTGCTGACCGATGCAACTTTTGACACTGCCCACGCAATAGTATGAATCTTCCGTCAAACAATTTCTTGATGCTCTGGCCGTCGCAGAGGATAGTAAACGGCGCCCTATCTGCTGAATCGAGCAGGGTGGATAGGGGTTTGGATGCTACTGCTCTGACCAGCCAGTATTCTTTTCTTTCTTTTACACTATTTCATCCGTATCGTCCCGCTCCAACTTCACTTTTATCCCCCTGTTATCAACCCCTTCCCCAATTACTGGGCCTTCCCCATCTTGCTTCAATAGTCGCTTGTCTTCTAGTCTCAACTCACACAGAATCACAGGACGTCGCCCCGGTCCAGTACAACGAAGCGGTAAACGTCAGTTCAAACGTTTCCGTTTGGAGTCCTCGATCCTCGGTAAGACTGGCATGGCTCGACGTGTGCACTTTGTTGGCCAACAGGCAGCACTGGTCCGAACCATAACGACCCTACCGATCGATATTTGGTGTTTATCAAAAACTCGCCTGCAAGTTTCGAGGTCCACGCTTACCCTGCAATCCTCTTCAGGTGACAGTTGCAGTGCTTTCTCACTGCGCTTATCCGGAGACGATACAGCTTCAAGTGAGGGTTAAGCGGGTGTCGGCATTGTTTTGAGTCCCCGGTTTGAAGCTGCCCTGATCGACTAGATCCCAGTCAACAGTCAGATGTGCACCGTTCGATTGGCTGGCTCACTCTAGGCTTCGATCACGTGGGGACAAACGGTGCCAGTTTGTCACTGCGGCTTACGCCCCCACAAATTGCAGCACTGATTCGGTGGAAGTTGATTTCTATCATCAAGTTAACGATCGCCTTCGTTACAGAAAAAGTACGGATACGGCGGTATGTATGGGTGATTTAAAAGCCCGAGTCAGAAAAGCGTCCACTGATGAGCTTCACCTGGGCGGCTAACATGGTGTAGAGTTCCGTAATGATAACGGTGAGCGGTTGGTACACCTGTCTGGTTGGGGTATCAAAGACGATGATTACGTTTGGTTGGACACACTTGCTGATATGGTGAAGAGCCGAACTCCACGACACTTGTATTGCGGCACATTACCTGAGGTGTGTTTCTCATCCTCAGCTGACGTGTCTTGATGATGATGATGGAAGAGACCAGTCGGGACCTCTTCAGACAAAGTACAGAAGCCCCGTTTGTTCCACCAAAGCACGCGCAAGCCGTTACGATAGTCTGTTCGTGTTGTAAACGGACTTCAAGTCGCAATACCTGAGTACATCTAGGTACTTCACAGAAGGTGTGGGATGTAGCAGCTGGCCGTTAATAGTGAACATTCGGCCGTCACCACCATTCCCCAGGCTCATAAATACCGACTTGCTTGGGTTGACCGGGAGGTGGACTTCTGCAGGCTACATGGAGAGGCGGTTAAGGTCTTGCTGAAATAGGTCTTCAAATCTTCGAGTTGTTTGTAAACAGGGCACATGGCGACCGAAGCTGACGCAGGTCGTTGATGTGGATTAGGAACAGAATGGGCCAAAGCACAGTGCCTAGGGGTACTCCAGTAGTAGATGTATACCAGTCAGTTAGATGACCGTCGACCTGTACCCACTACTTTCGCATAAGGAGAAAGTCCTAGATCCACTGGTGCAGTGATCCACCAACACCGCATACTTCCAGCTTGTAGCGGAGGACCTCATGGTTTACCTTGTCGAACGCCTTACTGAAATAGATGTAGCTTACGTAGACCGACTTCCCCTGATTCGCTGTCTGCAACCATTCATGCTTCGTCACCAACAGGTTGGTAATGCATGAGCTGTCTAGCATAGGTCCGTGCAGTGCGGGGATCAGTAGATCTTTTGATTGGAGCAGATGTAGTAGAGTCTTCTTCACGATCTTTTCGACAATCTTGACCAAAATGATTGCAAGACAAATCGGTTTACAGTTGTCCAGTTTGGAATCGGTTTAATCACTGAGCATTTTCAGTTGCTCCGTAATGAACTTGGGATAATGACCTATTGAATAAATGTTACAGCAGCTGAGTTGATGACAGATGGAAAGTTGAGAATCAGCGGGAGAGTCCGTCAGGGCCCGCAGGTTTGGTGCCATCAAGGTTGACGAGCAGTTGATGCACCTCTTCAACATTGTAAAAACCAGAAAGTCGAGTTCAGTAAGCGTAGTATATGTGGAACACCGTACAGACACCCGGTCATTAGTAAACCCGGAAGGGAAGTAAGCCGCCAAAGCCGACGCACGCTCAGTACTGGAGGTTAGAGCATGTCCTTACGAGTCCTCTAGCACTGGCAGATGACCTGCTGGCTTGAGGCGTCAGTACACGTAAGCAAAGATGCTTTTCGAAGCGGTCTTTGCGACGATTGCGAGCTGCTTTTCAAAAAACTGGCGCATGCTTGTTTTGATCTAATGTAAATATCCCACTGCTTATAATACACCTCGTGATCATAAAGAGTTAAAAAGGAAGAATTTGCCTCACAACTACCGCGGCCGCCGAACCATTTTACCATACTCCATGTCGATCCAATGCAGCTTCACTGGTCCAACTTTCCGACACTTCAATGGCACAAACTGAGAACATAGCATTGTCATTCTCAATCTAACAACGGTTCAACAATCTTCCCCAGATGCAGCTTGCAGTATAGACCAATCTACTTGGCTCGCAACTTGAGTTAGACCCTCGAAGTTAGTGTTCAGGAAGTGGTAAACTGGCTCCAGCGGAACCAAGACAGGATAGGATAAAACACAGGTAAAATTTCGTGTCCGGTGTAACTAAAATGCTGGTAATTGTGGAATTTCGTGTCGATGAGTCTGCACGGAACGAACGCGAAAGCTTGTCAGAAACCTGGCTAGCTTGTTGGACCAAACACAAGGAGCTAATCTCAACGAAATGATTCGCCCTACAAAGCGGTTGGCAAATCTGCACTACTTTCTCTGGCTGTAGTTCGTTTCGGCAACTGGAACGAAAGCATGTTAGATTTCATGAAAACGCTGAAAATGCTCAATCGATAGCCCAATGCAAAAAATGTAACGTTACACATAAGTAAGGTGGCCAGATTTTTCGTGCGCCAAAGCGGGATGCTTCCAGATTTTTTGCCTGCCAAAGCGGGACGCTTAACTTATACCCGTTGCTTCAGTATATGCAGCCCGTACAAAAAAGTAAAAAGCCAAATATCTACATTACTGCGCTGCAATAACAAAAAGTACTTACGTCATTAGTCAGTACAATGGCGGCGTTACTGAAGTTGATTTGCCGCTTGAGATTGTATCATCTGGAACCACAGTTGTAGGGCAATATTTATCAGATGAACGTATTTTCCGCTGTAGATCTGGCGTTGCATCTGCGTGCCGTGAAGTCGTTCACAGGGATACCCGGTGCCGTTGTCCTCAAAAGTGTATTTCACCATAAGCATCGCTTTTAGTGTTTAAACGCTAAGCTGCTTTATCTCACTTGTCGACACAGTGTTCTTGTGTGAGAAGATTCCTTCAGTAGATGTATTAATCCCAGGGAGACAGAATAAATTTAATAAGTATTGTATTTGTTCACATGGGCCCGAGTTGTCCTAGAAATGATAAAACAGTTCTACCCACAGCATGTCAACCATTATTTGTTTGCAGTTACAGTCGGAAATTTGGTCGGTTGATGCAAACCTACACCCAATGTTAACTTCGTCAAACAGCTCCTTGTCATAGATTTCTAGGTCAGGGAGTTAAGATCCAAAAAGACTGAAGCTACGCACTATCTGAAATTGGTTCATTCTTTCCTGTAGATAGTCAATGCAATTGTCGCAGAAGATGGTGATAATAATCATCATATATGTTTTCTGATGAGACAAGCTTATTGTAGCTGGCCAATTCGGATCTTTACCTCGGCTAAAACAAAGCTGTTTCTGATCCAGTCCCTGCACTTCTGCTGCGGTTCATGCATTTTTAGTACAGTAGCGTAAAAAATGGCAGAGCCACAGCTCAGCGCATAGATTTTCAAAGAAACCTTGTCATACTGTAGGACGCTACTGTAGAAAAAAATAGGATTGTAACGTCGAAAAGTGAAGGCCATCTGGTTTTCCCGTAGCCTAGAATGCGTTGATACTCTACCATTGCAGTCACAGAATTTCTTTAGTTCTTCAAAACGAACAGCATAAATGTAAAAATAAGAATATAGTTTCGCGACAACTGTTTCAACATAAATAGGGAGACAGTCAGCTGCCGTTTGCGATGTGCTGTGGACAAGGTGGTCCACGCAACCAATTCCCACAAATAGAAACTGGGTGTTGTCGCGTGAAAACATTGCATTACTTCAAAATGACCCACAATAATTCCGACAAGTTTTCGCCAATCGAAGATTTCAATTTCGCAAACACATTGTTTTGTCCTCCTCTGTGAACGCTACTGAAATTTGTGTTAGCATTGTGGGCACAAAAACCCACAGTATTTCTGGTCAAACTATTTTATTCCGACAGATGCTTTACAAATTCACAAATGGTGTCTGTTGTGCAATCAGTAACTGACTGCAGATGGCACAAAATACCACACAAGGAGTGGAAACACGTTTAGTTTCTTGTGGTTTGAGCAGTCTGTGAATATGGACACGAAGTTCGCTTTCATCTATTTTTCTTGAAGCTGCTCTCTGACAAATTGGATAGGATATTAACTACTATTGCCTCACATTTTATGCGGGCACAAACAAGCTTCGTCTCAAACAATTTCACCACTAACTTTCTGGTGCAATTCATGGAGTGGAAACCGTGGTATAAAAATACAACGTGATAAGGGAGGTACCTTATGCGGCTGCTAACTTGGCTTCTTTGTTTCCAAACGTTGCTGATCGGAACTAACTTGTTGCAGGGGTAGAAGATGCTGCCGCAAACACTGCTACGTATTGCGATCCGATTGTAGGAGCTTTGTGATATCTGATCTATCATCCTAAGCAAAAACAATTCGGATTTGCATGTCACATCGAACACGCGAATGGTTGTCGCGTGTTGTCTTCGTAATGTATGTAAAAGCATCCTCCAATTCAGTATTTATCATGCACGATCGCTTAGGCATTATTTCCCCACCAGACTGTACTTAATGCATGCGTTCTGCATAGACACAAAATTTCCCCAGCGCTTTTCTTTGCTCTTTTTAGATTGTCCTAAAAAATCTCCTTGCGGCATTGCTCACCCACGCAGGTGACTATCTCGCCCAACTCATACCCGCTCACATAGCTGGATCATATGGTGTGCATGCACCGCCACTGATCGGTTTCGAATTTTTTCACTTATATTCTACATGCTAACCGCGGGATATTCTGAGGTCTCCAACTTCAAAGCGAGACATTAGTGCAACCCGCTCAGCATTTCTAACAAAGCGAGACGACAGATTAAAATGCGAGACTGTCCCGTCCGAATCGGGACGTATGGCCACCTTACAAATAACACATGTACATTGATCAGACTACCTAGTTGAATTGTGCCTCGCACCACCGAGGCATATACCATTCATTCATTTATTTATGTCAGTACATTTGATCGACTTCGAAAGTTTGGAACAGGCACCGCAAGGTGATTGTTTCGGCACTATGGAAAATCCGAGACCAAGGTGGCGTCCAATTGTGGAGCACAATGTGATACCAAGAGCTCAGAAATAAACAGAGAATACAAGTATTTATGATTGAAAACTCTAAAATCAAAAACGAAGTCTAAGGTAAGCGTAAGTTCCACGAAATAATTAAAATGCATGAAGAAATCTGAGAAATAATCTTTTTAACATAGCCAGGAAAAATCAGCCAGAGGCCGCTAACCCCTTGGTTCAAAAACAAAATAGTAGATATTTCGCATAATTCTTTTCAACGCTCCAATACAGTAGCGAAAGTGTCTTACTGCAGATCACTACAAAGTGTGCCATGAGCAAGACCGAATAAAAGAAGTGATTATAGTTACAGGGTGGTCATCCATGACAAAACACATCATCAACTCAACATGGAGACAATGCTGTCAGACACCACAAAATCCAAGCCAAATACTACTTTCGACACAGTCTGGTTGGGCAGTTAAGGTTGATCTCGCAGGGCGTTTTCATCCGAATCACAGGTGTTTGGCGGTCCAGTGATCTGCAGCGGTTGAACTATGTTCACTCGTCCATCTTCAGTTCATGGTACATTTCATGGATCATGAGTATACACACAAAGAGATATGGACTCGTAGGACACAACACAAATAAAAGAGTAGCGCCAAGTGAAACTGCGCAATTCGCAACGGCTGGACTTCGCGTCGGTGAGCTTGCACAGGACGAGAAGGGAACCTCATCTGAAACCTGAAGGCGTTTTGGGCCAGCTTGTAAGGTCGAAAACGCGGAGCTGCTAGCAAAGAATGATTCAGCCTAAACGGCGGTTTGTGATTCCGCTTTCTTTCATCAGACGGTATCTCGTTTAGGCAATTTCTACACAAGGTTTGTACAAAACCATGTTCGATTTTACAGCGTTGAAAATGCTCAATCGATAGCTCAATGTATGAAACGTGGAAATTAACGTTGTACATAGCACATGCAAATGCATTTTCTCGATGTCCGACAGTCGTGAAACAGGCACTGTAAGGTGAACAATTCAAGACCAAAATATGATCAAATTTGAAGCACAAGTGATAATATGACCATCGAAACTAAATGGAGATAACACTACTATTTGTGGTTGAAAAATTCAAACACAAATGAAACTGAATGACATCTTAACCGAAATAATTTCAGTGCACAGAGAAATTCGACGAGAAATAATCTCGGTACCATAGCCAGGAAAGTTAACCAGAAAGTTAACCGCAGTCGCGACATAATGATGATAACAAGCGCGAATGGCCATGCGTCAACCGATGACATCACGCCACGCCAGTAATGAAGGAAGAGGTCAAGCTAGTGTGTTACGACTGTCAGATTAAAGACCACCAAAACGACACGGCGGTTCTCTTGAAATCGGCCTCAAATTATTTCAGTGAACATACTTAGCGATTACTTTTCGCATGGTACTAGAGATCGAACTAGGGATTCAAAAAGGTTTGTTATCCGCGACTAAATTGTTCTCGGCAGTATAAAGCATAATTGTTGCGGTGACAACTTGAAACACGGTAACTGAATCCATCGCAAGCGATGTTCGGAGAATACTTAACAAATGCGGTGCATCAGACCGAGTGTGGTAAAGCAAGTAACACAAGAGTTGTTATTAAGAGTAGCTCAAAAAAGGACGTTAGCAGGGATAAAATACACTCGGCTATGCATTGGCTCTTACCGGCCCATCGATTGTCTTGAGTCTGTGTGTGAACGAGGCTGGCCAAATCCATATTGGGAGGGAAAATGTTTGTCTCTGTCCTGGGATACGAGATGTATCCTTGGGTGTACAGACGCTCGGCAAGCTGCATAGCAGCTTTTGCACCAATACGTAATTTGCGAGTGGCCAACTTCTCAAGTTCCTATAGACACAAAGGAAAATAAGCCTGATATAGACACAAAACTCTGTTCATTTCCCTGCAAGTGACAACTGGTGTCATTAAGCAATATAATCATGATCTGACAATGGCTGTGCGGTGTAGAGATAACCAAGCAAAACAGTGACATATTAACAGCGGCAGGATCAGGCTAGGTGCCAAGGATAAAGGAGATAGTACCTGTCGCCAAACTCGGCCCTTCGGGGACAAACGGTTTATTCGACGTAGCGGAGAAAATAGCATAGCCAGTATGCAGAAATCTCGATGTCAATAACTAGGTCACTTCCATAACCAACGACGCTTCTGTATTCATGGTTCTCTCTTTGAATCAGTAAAACAAACGCGCTCCAGCGCAGCCAACTGGCGTATGGTCGAATATGCGTGGACGTACAAGTAACTGCTCTGCACGCTTGCGGTAACCTGGCTGCTTGCTTCGTAATGTAAATCCATTTTGTTCCTCTGTTTGCATGATCCCACCACATATTTCATTTTTACGTGATTAGCTACATGGGAGTCGCTGTCGACCCCGTACGCTATTCCGCTCCACGTGGTCTTTGGTACCCCTGTCTTTGCGAATTCTCCGTAAGTCGTCGTGCGCTTTGCTTTATTTTCACCTTGTTCCCGGTGTCGCTTCAGCTGCATTTTGTTTCTTCTGATAAGATTCCCTCCAGTACTGACTTCATAAGATCCTACTCCGACCTTCGCAGCAACACATCTTTCTTCCATCGCTCGTTGACAACAGGTATCAGTTGAATCGACACTTGATTATCTACTTATAGCTCAGGTAGCGCCCGGGTACTGCAGTCGTAATACCGTTTTTGATCTGCCATCCGTTTTCATACACTTCGGTGCAGTTACTCATGCGACGGTAAAACCGGGTGCAAAAGTACAGTCGCAGCAGGCACTAGTTCTTGTCCCTCTGTTATACAAACGGCGCGCAGGAGTGAGATCGACGTTCAGTAATGTGTTGCGAACCTCCATCTATTTTTGCTTACATGTTGCTCACCCCAAACCGATCATCCGGGGAGACATGTCAAGCTTCGGCTTTTTTTCTCCGCAATATACCATTGACCATTGAACTAGGGGTCCTCATGAAGAGCCTCTTGGCTTGTTTCATTGACACCTCCGCTTATCCGTCCCACTGGCTGTGATACGGGTTCCGTTCTCGATGAGAAAATTTCTACCCCTTTGAAAGGTCTGCAACGCAGCACTTATAAACGGTGGGCTATTGTCGAAGATCAGCTAATATGGTATACCGTGTCTGGCGAACTGACACCTAAGGTTATTGATGACTGCACCCGTGATGGTAGCGATGAGTGGATCGACATTGAGATACTCGGTGCAGTAGTCCCCTGCGATTAAGTAGGCTCTCCCGTTGTCACAGAACAAGTTCACCACTAATTTCTTCCATGATCGATCTGAAACCTCAAGCAGCATAATTGGTTCCCTGGTCCCTCGACTTTCGTGGAACCGGCAGGTTGAACAATACAACACCTGATCTCGTATTTGCCTTATCATCCCGGGTCAGAACATCAGTTCACGTGCTCTGATAATGCTGTAGTGTATACCCAAATGGGCTCGATAAGCGTGTTCTAGCATCAATTGCGAAGCGACGGTGGGATCAAAACGCAACTTCCTTTGTATAGCAAAGCGTCATACACCGTAAGTTCATCCCGAAAGTTGAAGAATGGTGTTAATTCCTTTGGGAGATTGCTTTTTGTATTTGGCAATCCTCTCAAAACGCTGCGCACGTCGTGTCTGCCTCCGTATGACGCAGTATTGTTTTCAGCAGATCCGTCGTTAACGCCAGATGCTGTATCAGACTTATTGCCTTACCTTCTTTTTGTTGGTCTTCGACTATCGGGTGATGAGCTTTCGAGAGTGTCCGCGATTAACAGCTGCATCCCCGGGGTGTAAATATATCAATGTCGTACTCATAGAGTTGGATAAGCATAAGTTGACGAGGTCGAGGAATATTGTGCAACGCTTTACTGGCTATTAACACTAGCGGTTTTATAGTCAGTCTAGAGAGTAGTCTTACTTCCAAGGGTATAATCGATGAATCGCTTCATCACGTAGACAAAAGCGAGCATCTTCTATTCGATCTGTGCATAGCGCTGTTTCGTCACTGTGGAGGTTCGACTGCGGAAATCCAAGGGTTAACCATCCTGCATGAGAATGGCGCCTATTGTGTTCTGGCTACTGTCACAATGCACCTCCAAAGTAAGAGCTGGATCGCCCAGGTTCAAGATATACAGCTAACGCAAAGGAAAAAACGTGCCGCTTACACAAGGCACTGCAGCTCGATCCGAGAACAACATGCACCTGGTGCTGTAGCATTTGAGGTCGTGTTTCTCAGCAGAGAGGGTAATATCAGAGAGGTAATGTGTAGAGCAAATGGGTAAGTGTCAATGTATGCTAAGAACGTTGCTTCGAGTTCCGTTTTACTAACCCTGACTGACAATGCGGTAGATGTGGCACGTGTGCTGCAAGTTGCCAACCCATCGAAAACTATGCACCGTGATTAGCTTTTTCAGACACCGCTGATTATTGCTGGTAGAGACGGGTGATAGGATAAAAGAATGTTTCCATCCAGTGCAGAACCGGGATATGGCCCGGTCACCGAACTCATCATGTCTGGCACGCAGGTTCCCATATGTTCAAATAAATGAGATATATGTAGTTATAAAAAAAGCCGCCTCGCTTTCTCGCCATTTCAAACACTGCGCAATGTGGGTGCAAAGCGCGTATAAGCCACCAACTGCAACCGATTTATTTTACAGCCAACATTTCATATCAACCTATTATATCCTCGTTCACCCGATGACCAACATGTTGGTCAGTGTACCCAAACGCTGCGTCCCCGTACGGCTTCCTTTCCTTACAACAATTACCCACTCCTCTACGCTCCTCATCATTCTTCCGCCTTCAGCTGTTGTCTAAACTACGTTCGTAAGTTTTATTCTCTGAATCAAGCAGTCGATTTCCTGCTAGATGACCTTTCTATGCTCAAGCACGGGTTGTATTTGTACACCGGTAGTGTCATACGTGGAGTTGCACACTTCCAAAGCGCCTTGCGTTGCTTAACGATGAAGATCTTAAACGTTGCCGAAAAGAACGACGCTGCCAAGAACATTGCGGACATTTTAAGCTCTGGCAGATTAAACAGAGTACGTACTTTTTAACTTGTGACGTATTTAACAGCGGGAAGGGCTCTCGAAGTTCAACAAAATATATGAATTCGGATTTTGTCTTAATGGAGTGCCAGTTAACATGGTAATGACATCGGTCTCAGGTCACTTAATGAATTTGGACTTTCCTTCTGATTACAAAATCTGGTTAGGTCTTTTGCGCTATAATCGAATTCTCAGGCATGCTTCTGACCCACTAGTTCTTTTCGATGCCCCGGTCAGCAAGATCGTTATCAAGGAGAACGAACCCCTGAAGGTTTGCTTCTAGCTTTTGCTTTTTTATTTACATTTCGTAATTGCTGCGCGTTGCATCTCTTGCCCTAATATTTCAATGATTCTCTTTTTGTTCATTGTACTTCATTGGATAGTGGATAGCAGGAAGATGCTGTCAGCTCCATCACTTCCCGTTCGAGGCAGATATATCGAAAATCCTTGCGATACGTCGTTTCACAGGGGGACGATCACGATCGCAACGGGAACACGTTCCTTACCTGCTCATCACATAGGAGTCTAACATTCGTTTAAAATTTTTATCATTCTGTGCGCTGACGACTGGATCAGGTAAATTGTTCCAGTCCATTTTGATCAACTTTCCCTCAGTTTTGTCCAATTGATCTTTGCCATGTACTGTCTGAATGGCGCGGCGCCATGCCTTTGACTTGGTTTCGAAGATAAAATGCTGCTTTCGCTAAGCCGACTCCACAAATCGTAATCATTATTCTCAGATTTGTGACCTGAGTAATGAGACGACCTTAACGTGGTGCGACGGTTTGCGTATCTCATAGACTCATTGAGCTATACTGGGTGATGCCTCCGGGCACCTTGAGAGATACTCCTAACAGGTTGGTCAATGGTGAGAGGTCAGACAAACTCAGTCACCTGGTCCTCCAGGGTGGGGGTTTGAAATGGGATAGCGTCCATTTCTGTAAAACTAAATCATTGCGACCTCCCCGCTGCCTTGTGGAGAGGCTTTTGAGCCAAAGGCTTTGGATGAGGACCCTAATCGTCCGTCTGTCTACGTCTGGGCGCCCTGGCAGTATCTCAGCCCACATACAACCATGACATTTTTTCAAACACAAACTTCATCCTGCATCGGCCGTCGCGCAGATTATCAAGACTTGCTTGTTTGCTGCATAGTGCAGGGCGAATAAGCGAAAACATGGTACTGCTGGCGCCTCCTTTCTTTTCCACCTGTTTCTCTTACTCCCATCCCGACCCCCATTACTAACCTTCTATAATTCCCAGCTTAATTGACAGCAACCGAAGTGCTACTGGAGTGGAACCATCTGCAGCCACCATTCCACAGCACCTAGTGGACGCCCGTCAACAAAAGTCCCTTATAAGGCCACGCTATCCCGTTTTCATAGCAACTTTCAACGTTCGTACTCTAAGGCAAACAGGTCAACAGGCTGCACTCGCACTTACGTTGGACACACTGGGTATTGATGTGTGTTGTGTGTCCGAAACTAGGATTAGTGACTCTAACGGGGTTATTGAATTAACTGCACCCGGCTTATCCTCTCGTTATTCGTTGCACGCATCCGGAGACGCCGATGCGGCACTCACGCGTCAAGCTGGTGTAAGTATCATTCTCAGCTCCAAGGCTGAGCCATCGTTGGTTGATTGGATTCCGGTGAACAGCCGATTATGTGCAGCCCGACATCAGCTAAGGTGAATCCACGAAGTAAAACAAAACGCTGTTTGTTTGTGATTTCCGTTTATGCTCCCACCGACTGCAGTTCTAATGCTGTCAAGGACACATTCTATGACGAAATGAACGCGCTACTACGCAGTG